AGACTCCAAAGGAAACATGGACAGACTGGGCATGGCTGTGGATCCATGGAGTAGAGGTCCTTGCAGAGTACCTCACTGGGTTCCTGTCCCCTGGAGCTACAGAATTGGTATCATCATGTAGAAATCAAGTCCCAAAAGCTAGTATGCTCCCTGAACTGCAGAAGTATAGAAACTGGAACTCTAAGTAGGAGGAGCCAAAAGTATAAGATGTAACTGAAAAGCATGTAAACATTGCATCCTGAGACATTTCCAGTAAATCTATGGGGCGTGCTTTCCTTGAGCCTTGGAGACTCAGCTCCTTCCAAGGATATACACAAGGCAAAACAGGTAAACTTTGTTCTCAAGATTTAAGATTCAATGTTTGGACTCAGAGAACCATGTTATCACTTAATTGTCTTTCTTTCTTTGGGAGTATATGAGTGTTTGACAGCCATAAGGAAATTTGTCCCTCAGAAGAATCCGCTTGGCCAGGCAGTGGTGGCGCAAGCCTTTAATCCCAGCACTCGGGAGGCAGAGGCAGGTGGATCTCTGTGAGTTAGAGGCTGGGCTGGACTGACAGCCTCCAAAACAATACAGACAAACCCTGTCTCGTAAAAGAAGAAGAAGAAGAAGAAGAAGAAGAAGAAGAAGAAGAAGAAGAAGAAGAAGAAGAAGAAGAAGAAGAAGAAGAAGAAGAATTGGCTCTACAATGTTACCCTCATCTGCTTCAGATGATATACTTAGGTAAGAGATGCATACAGATCTTAAAGTTGTTGTTGGAAATGACTTGAGAATTTTCTAACTGTAAAGTTGCAATTCCGTATATGAATTTTTGACTGTGTTTGGAAACCTGTTGCAGCTTACATATATCCCCCTTAAACTCATATGTTGAGATTTCTTTGTTGACATTAACATTTGAGTTTTCCACAGAGAACAAAGAATTTCCTAACAGCAATCTTCAAACATTATGGAAAGAAAATGGGGCCCCACTTCATCAATTCCACCTGATCCAACCTGATACATCTGAACAGACAAGTACCACCCTGAAACCGGTTTGGGACTGCATCATTCTACACAACTCCAGACTAATTAACTGATATGGTGCACCTTCTACACTCTGGCCAGAACCTCAGACAAGGGCTTCAATCAAGATTAGAACTTCAGTCTAGAACTTCAGTCAAGCATCTTTCACCAAACAGAGACTGGCTACAAATGTTGTAGTCAATCCTCTTGAGATTTTCACTACACTAACATTTTTTCCTACAGGATCCCATGAGGTCATCATCGTCCCATTTCAGCAGGAAGTAATTCTGAGAGTACTACATTCCCTTTCCCTATCATTGCTTTACAGGATAATTTATACATGTTAGAGTTTGTTTTCAGTTATTTAGGGTTGGAATGGAAGGAGGTATGTTCAGACTTGGGCATCTCTCTCAGATAAGTTTAGGGTTTAGATGGGATAGATATAATTAGGATAGTATATAGGTAGATTATAATTTGTTTATCATCTACGTATATATGCTTTATATATGTTTGAGACAATACAGTTTTGTTTTAAGTCTAAATCTTTTCTTTAGACTAAAGAGGAATTGTAGGGAGAGATCTTATGTACCCAAATGAGTAAGGTCACAGCTACGTAGAACATATGGGGGGATAAAAGAACTGGGAGGAAGGAGACGCTCTCTCTTTGGGTTCCGGTTCAGTCCCAGAGAGCAGCGTGAGAGGACCTTTGGTTCTCGGCAATCTTGGCTTCTCACGTAAGTGATTTCTCCCTCAATAAAATATCATAGGACATCCTTACTATGTGTAGCTTAATATTGCCATGGCAGTTGAAACTTGCAGTATGAAGAGGTGGAATATGTAGGACATGATTAAGTGATGAGTGAATGGGATTAGTATCTTTATGAAAGTACTCCAGGGAACTAATCAGGTCACTTTTGTTCTTCTGTGTTGTCCAACATTGAATGAAGTAGCAATAAGGTAACAATATGATCACAAGACTTAAGTTTAGACATTGAATCAGCTGTGTCCTTCACCATGGGCTTCAGTCTTCAAAGTTGTAAGACATAGATATCTGTTCTTTATAAATTATATAATCAAATACATTCTGTTATAAGAGTAGGAACTTGAGAGGATAAGAAATCAATTGGGATACAACTTACTCTGTAAAGTTCAGGTAAGAAGTTTCTCTGCATTTTTCCTACATGACTCATTTCCTAGCAATGGGTATTTAAAGTTGAAATGTTTCCTAGCAAATAATTCTCAAGCATGTACCCCCCCCACACACACACACCATAACTAAACAAAATTTTATCTCGCGAATATGCCACTGTTAGTTCTCTGGCCTGCCAAATAGAAAAAAAATCAGTATCCTAATGATATAGACCCACAATCCAGTTAAAATCATATTTTCATTAGTAGAGAAACATAATTAAGCATTAGTGTTCCAGATCTAGTTGGCTTCCAACTTGGGTAAATTTTTAAACAATTTTTTGGCACAAATAGGGGCAGTTAAAATCATTCAAACACAGAAAATAGGTTGAAGATTAACTTGGACCTATGACAAGAAACAGAGCAATGAATGTTCCCTAGTGCTCAGCTCACTTTCACATTTTACATAGTCTAGGATTTTATGAAGAGGTCATGTCACTGCCCCTGGTCAAGGTGAATCTTTAGACATCAGCCAACATAGTCAAGATCTCCAATGTAGGCATGCTTAATGAAGCCATCCTCCAAGTGATTCTAAATTCTTTGACATCAACATTTAGCATTAATCATCCCAAGTGTACCCTTTCTCCACGTGACAGTGAAACAGATCACATTTAATCCATATACAACCTCACAGCTTCATAAATCCATAACCGTGTTATAATACCTACTATAACTGTAGTCATTCTTACATTGAAAATGCCAAAGTCATTAATAGTTTCAATACTTTAAATGTCTAACCTCTCTTAACTTTCAATTCCCATAAAACCAAAAGGGAGTTACATATTTTCAGTACCCAATGACAGAGTAAATATTTCTGGTCCCAAACTGAAAGAACCAAGGAACAGTCATAATAGGAACAGTCACACAAAACAAAACCCAAATCTGCAGAACACATTACGTATTCGGAAATTTTCATGTCTGACACCTGAGGCTTACGGTGTAATAAACTCTGGACTCCAAAGAGTATTGATGGCCTCCGTGTCTAACTCTGCTGTCTTCCACACATCTAGCTTGGATTGCTTCCATTCCACACCTGCGGCTCTGTTCTGTGCTCATTTCATTTCCCCCAGAATCTTCAATATCCTGGGTTTTCCACTGGTACCTTAACACTTTCAGCTTCAGGACGTAGCCTCCTTCCAGACTCTCTGACATCTTTCCACATTGATTAGCCCAGAGCTGTTTTCCATCACACTCCAGTCTTTTATCTTCCATACCCTCAAAACTACTTGCACATAGATGGCACTGCCAAGTTCTGCTACAAGTTGGAGATGTAGCTTGCCTTGCCCTTCCTCGAAGTCCACCACTCTATCAGCTTCTGCGTGTTGATACTAGAAATATATTTTTAGGCAGTGTTTTCAGAGAAGTTGAGAATCCCCCCACCTGGACCCCAGGAGCTACATTCTCATTTCAGGCTCTGTCCTTTACTGGAGTTTTCACATGGGGGGGGCGCTTTGATAGGAGGATCTTGCCCTTGGGTCACCTTTATTACTGTTCCCATGGAGATGAGGGTCTATTGTTAATGATGTTAATGTCTTTAACAACTGCAGATGCTTTGCTAGTTGTTCTCTGTTGTGCACAGCCCTAAGCCTGTTTATACCCCTAACCCTAACCCTAACCCTAAACTTCACATTCTTTTATTTCTCTTTGTTTAATTGCTTTCTCTCACTGAAGATCTGAATGTTGGTGGTGAGAAATCCCAATAACATTCTGCTTTGCAGTGTCCTCTTCCCTACAAGTTAGTCCATTACTTTTGAATTTAGGTCTCTGAATATGGTCCAAGTAAAGCCAAGCTCTTTGTCAGAATAGAGTATGGATGGTCTTAGCCCTGTTCTTAAGTGTCCATGCTGCCCTATGAAACTAGGCCTCAGCAGTCTAAAATTTTCACTGGCTGTTGGCCATTGAAACAGCCACTAGAATGACCAGTCTGGCTCTGCAAACAGCATTTTTGGATTTTTCTAGCCCAAAGTTTCAAACTTCTCCACATTGCTCTCACAACCCAGTCCCAAAAGCGTAAAAATCACGTGACAAGTTTAATCATAGCGACAGCTGCAATCTTGGTAAAACTCCCTGATGTCATAGGTAGTTTTCATTGTTAACTCTACATAAGCTAGAGTCACCTGGAAAGACTGAACCTCAGCTGAGGAACAGCCAAGATCAACTGGTCCCCTGGCCATATCCATCATAGGTTCTCTTGATTAGTGATCGAGTAGAAACAGTGATGTCAAATCAGAAAACCAACAGTAAAGCAGTAAAGAGAGTAGGATCTAAAAGTTAGTGTTTCTTAGCAAAAAAAAACCATGATATTGTTCACTGTAAATCATTTAAAATGGGTGAGTTGCGGACTTTTCAGTATAAAAATTTATAATAGCAGAAATTTTAAAAGAGCATTTAGTGTTATTTCCTAGAGATAGTAGGAAGTACATGTTACTTTTTTTCTTTCTTTCTTTCTTTTTTTTTTTTTTTTTTTTTTTTTGGTTTTACAAGACAGGGTTTCTCTGTATTGTTTTGGAGGCTGTCGGTCCAGCCCAGCCTCGAACTCACAGAGATCCGCCTGCCTCTGCCTCCCGAGTGCTGGGATTAAAGGCGTGCGCCACCATCGCCCGGCGTACAGTTACTTTTATTTGCATTTTATTGAGTAATATTTCCCAGACAACAAAATAGTAACATTTAAAAAGCTTTCAAAACGTATATTTTCAAAATAACATCAAGTTATGAGAAACAAACTAAATAGATTTGATAGACTGATAGCTTTATAATTAGCAATTGCAAGGGTTATATTGAAAAAAAACATGAAAAATCACAGATTCAAGTTAATTTTCCATAAAATGTTTTATTTCTAAATATACATTTTCATTTTTATCTTGAATGCAGAGAATATTTTAGATGTTTATAAAGACATATACCCAAGTCTATTCCAATTGTGTAGAAGGTAAAATATGATTTGGAAAGCAAAAGTGTATGCATTATGCCTCATGTATTATAGCTTAATTCTGAGAAATTTCACCATAGAAAAATAAAGCTGCCAGTTTCCCATGTCCGTGTTCTCATTGTGCAGAAGTCAAATCTCTGTCTTCTTCATTCGCACCCACAACAGTGCAAATGTTTGTTCCTACTCACAGCCTTCAAAAAACATGTAGTCCTAGACAGAAACAAACACAGAAAAATAGTGTTTCAGAGACAAAGAATGACCTGTTCTTAGATACAGAAAAGTAAGAGCACTTAATGCCCAATGACATAGTGTCATCCAAGATGAACTAAATATAATGAGTAAATGTTGGAAAATCTATAAGTAAGTATAACCTTTCCCTTCTGATTACAAGAGAAATTAAATTCTCTAATTTTATTCATTTTTCTATGTCTGTATCTATTTAATTAATTCCCTTATACCTCTTTAAATATTCTTTTTTCGTATTTCCCTTGAAATTTTTCCGTTATTCTTCCTCAGTTGAAAACTGTTTTTTATCAAGGATTTAAGTGTATGTTTATCAGTGTTGTATCTCCATGCATGTCTGTGCCTGTGCAGGTCTGAAGAGGGTATCAGATCCCCTTAAACTGGACTAATAGTTGGGCGTGAGTTGCATGTGGTGCTGGAATTCAAACTCAGATCCTCTGGAAGTGCTGACAACCTCCAGCCCATCCCTCATCTCTTTCCAGTTTTATTCCACTAATGTAATGGCTCACATGACAGGAGATCCACAGTCAGAGTTAGATCATGGGATTGATGGAGCCTTTTCATTCAGAATGACATACACACCAGGCATGCTGGCTCAGGGACAGCAATTCTCTTCTAAACCTTCTTACTCTTTCCCACATTGTTTCCTTTCTCTAACTAGCAAATCATATGGAATTCATTTCTTTCCCATTCTCTACGTTCTTCTATTCCACCAACAGTAATAACTCAGCTCTTCCGCTGATCCGATGTCTGTGTTACTGAGCTTTCAATCTGTCTCTCACAGTTGCCTCACTATGTCTTTTCAAACTTGTATTCACAGCTATTTTTTCAGCCTAGCTTTGAACTGAGCAATGTTCAATTTTAAATAACTGACTCTATATTTACAAAAGCTTCCCAATGTTTAAGCTTCCCAAATATTTTGAGAATTTTTTTTCTGTGAATTGACTCAAAATGTGCATGTATTTATGGAACATGGGGTAATCATTCAATACATCCCCATATTGCACAATGTTTAATAAATATATTGGCCATCTCATTTATTATATATTGGGTTGAAAATTTTTGGACTTCTTTTCCATAGTTTTTGAAGTTGATGTTACATGCATCACCTTCTTTGCTACAACATTCAGAACTTTCTTTTTTCCTATCTATAAAATAATTGCCAATCCACCTTTAACCCTGCTTCACAACAATATAAACCCTGCACATCATGTCCTTCCGCTAAATGCAGGTCTTTCATGTACACAGACTCTGATTTAAGATGTTTTCCCCAAAATAAGGCTAAATTTACTTTGTAAGTGTTCTTTACACTTACTCAACACACACACACACACACACACACACACACACACACACACACACCTCTTTTTTACATAAGGTTCATTTTGTTGAAGCATTTGTTTAAACTGAAATAAAGAACAGCAGTGCAAAAAGTCGCAGCACCTGCTCATTTGGCTTCAATAATGATTAAGCTGTGTCTACCTGTTACTAACCGTACAACTCCATTCTCCTATCCACATTATTTAAAATCAAAAATATTTTACAAAACAAGTTTATATTGAATAGACACAGATATAGACAATTGTTTTTGCTAAAACACCAGAAAATATCCCTCATGCAATCAAAAAGCATCATCGTTTATATTTACTTGAAATATCATAGGTGACTTTTCAGACCATTTTCCTTGAATTGATGCCCAGACATGGTTCACAATAGGTATTATGGTGACATCCTGTTTTATTTTAGCTTTATTTTAATTTGTATCTGTTTGCTGAAAGAACCCAGACTGTAGGGCTGCACAAGCTCTTGTTTTTTTCTTACTGCGTCTCCAAAACAATGTTTAAGATACCTCACATTTCAAACCTTGCTACATAATGGAACCAGCTAGAAATGCTATCAAGACTAAAAGCTGGAAAAAAAACTTCAGAGAGTTTAATTTAGTGGAATTGTAATCTGGGCAGGGAATGTTTGAAGTTCCCTGAGTATCCTGATAATGATGAATACTGACTGCATATTGGAATCTGCTGAGATACTATATGAAAACTGATCATGAGTTTCTGATTTATTTGAACTGCCCAGGTACCTGGATATATAAATGTTTCAATTAATTAATCTCTACAGCCTAATTGTAACTATATTGTAATTTATAGTTATATATTAGACAATAATTTTATGCTTAACAACATGTGCATTTTGATCAGACTTTTTCCAATTAGAATCAACACTGCCTCCAAATCTCTAATTTTATGTTTCATTAAAAAAAACTGAAAGACAAGGACCTCTGAATGACAAAATCTATGTTGTCTTGTGTTGATCTATAGATTTCTAGAGCAAAAGTAGTCCTCCAGATCTGAATTTCAGGATACAAGCTATTGAAGAGCTATGACAAAGCAGAATCTCATATAAAATCCATCAGTGTAACAATGACACTTTGGGATTCCCAATCTGCCCAATCATTATGGATTAGCAGGAACAGACTTACTATGAGGAAACATGCTCCAAGTATCACAGCCTTCATCTTCACATCAAGGTCTAGCGGGAACTGAATTCCAAAGTTATCTGCATCTGTGAAAGCCTCTTTCACACACCCAGACCACTGCTTGGTGATCTTGCCAATTCCAGATTGCTCATCAAGAGACTTGATCTACGTATGAAAATCAAAACGTAAGATAGCAAACCCAATTTCAAAGCTGGAGTAAAGTCAGACAAATATTTTCTTAAAATCATGTTTAAAAATGTTTCTCTTCTTCAATTTCTAGAAGCTATTGGGAAGATAACAACAGATGAAACTCCTCTTAGACTATCTGCTTTGAAAAGTATAACTTTCATGCAGGATGACTGTATAAATGTGGCAGAGGCTCATTGCCAACTATGAGGCCATGAAGCCAAGACGGGGGTGGGGGGTGGGGGGCATTAAAGGCAAAAAGCAAAGAAAATACTAAAGACCAGCTGATGGGTGGAAGGACCAACAAGAAGCTCCATGTGAGGCTACTGCGGCAGAGATGGGACAGGATTTGATAACTAGCAGGGAATAGAACAAACAAGAAGAAAAGTATGTGAAACCAGATTTCCAATGTGAAAAGCTTCTGGTTTGGGGACTCTGTGGAAGCAAAGTCCAGGGTCCTATTTTACAGTAAAATGGGTAGGGCACAAAGTAAAACCACTCCATAGAGGGAATGCAGATCCTTACTAAAGTATGTACACACAGGGTTGAGCCAAAGGAGGAGGAGATAGATGTGTCCTTTCCAAAACTGCAAAAGGCATCAAAGGAGGGAGCAGCCTCCATTAAAGCCCTTGCCTCAGACAGGATCCACCAAGCAAACATGGGGATGTTGAGAAGTAGTCAACATTGTGGTGTGGCTGGAGGAGGATGGTATGTTAAATGTATTGATGTTTACTTCTAATATGAAAGAAAAGTCACAAACTATTGCTCATAGAATAGTACTCTCATCCCACACCCACACTAGGCATAGTATACTTTCTTTTCCTTGAGAATTAGGTTTTGTTATGTCTAATTTGATGACAGGGTGTGGCAGATGACTTGAATGTTCTCCATGGCTAATTTGCTTTGCCTAGATGATCACCAATGAGCAGTATCACCCATTGAGATGCTGTGGGTACAGTTCTATGACAAAGTTTCCTTGAGCAGATAGCAGGTTACTTCCTGGTCCAAGTTAGAGCCATCTACATGAGCTTCCATCAGTGCAGAGGAACTCAGCTGTACTAGAGGACATGATGTGAAGTGATGTCAATTTGAGGTCATGAACCATTGTAGTTGCATCAGATGTGACATTTTGATAAGTTGGCCTAAAATAAATCCTATTTTGTAATGTCTTAGCACTTTATGTGCAATAGTTGTCATAAGCTTTTATAGTCAGTCATAAAACGTCACAGATATGCTTGAAGTGTGAATTATATTATGGAAGATAAGTGGTAATTTGTCAGCATCATAAACTCAAAACTAAAAATAAACATATGATTATTTACCATTTTTTTAGAAAGCAATAACTTAAAATTAGCTGAATTCATTATCAGATGTAATTTTATTGAAGGGATGATCAGAAATGTAAATTGTAAATTACAGAAAAAAGTAACTAGAACAAAAGGATTTTAGCTAGATTTGAGAATTGTTTTTAGCGTGTGTGTGTGTGTGAGAAAGAGAGAGAGAGAGAGAAAGAGAAAGAGAGAGAGAGAGAGAGAGAGAGAGAGAGAGAGAGAGAGAGAGAGAGAGAGAGAGAACTTGTATATCTTGGTATAGGTTCAGGAACAATTTTGGTATGTCATTGTTCTCCTTCCTCCATGTTAGTTTTGTGGGTAGAACTCAGATTGGACAACTTGGTAGCAATTTCCTTTGGCTGAAAAGCCACACCTCTAGATCCCAGGTGAAATTTTCAATAAGACTCCTGAATAAGACAATGCCATCTCTGAATTAATGAACTGGCATAACAACTGTAATTGTTCTATTCACAGTTCTAACGGTAGAGGCTCATACTAACATTTCCCATTTTTAAGACATAAACATTGCCATCATATATTGTACAGGAAACAGAACAAGTTTCTAATTTCTTTCAAAGACAGTACATCAATATTATCATTCTTAAAATGTCATAAAGGAAGTAACTTATTTAAGGCAATGACTATTTGAAGGCATCTATGATGACGGATGTCACAACAAGACTTAAAATCATTAATAAAATCACAAAACTCCATTTTTAAAATTAAGCACACAACAGCAAAATTTCCCTTAATAGTGTCCCTTGGTTAAAAAAAGAAAAAGGTCTATCCTATGTAGTAACTAAATACTACTTTCTCTGACTCTTACACAAGCATAATGTTCTGTATGAAGAATTATCATTACAAATGTTCTTAAGTGGTTTCATACATACTTATCATATACACAGTTTTCTGTCACAGGTATTTTCTTGAAACGCTCAGCTCTGCCCTTCAACATAGATTCTGTAAGAAGGGCAAACTTCCTTCACACACTCAGTGTCTCAGAGAAATTGAGTCCATATGAATGGAGGAAGAGGGTGTAAAAACTGAGTGAACCTGGAAATCAGAAGCCTTGGGGAGATCTGGGGTTGGGGTGCCAGAGTTCTGACAAAGGGACAACTCCATTCAACCTCAGGGAATCTTTCCTCTGTGTGGAAATTAAGTCCAGTTTTTCCTCATTTTCATTTTTCAAGAAAAATACATGGATTTTCAATTTAACAAATTCCCCAATAGAGCAATGAGGCTGGCTAGGTCAGTTGTTGCAGGAATCTTATAATGTCAGACATATTCATATTCCAATGGCCTCATTTACTCCAAGGGTTTACCAGAGCCCTGAGAAGCAGAACCATACAATGTATTTTGAGAGAAGTGGGTCTTACGCAAGGGTCACATGGCCAAGCCTTTCTGGAGGCCTACACTGTGTATGTGAAATTGTTTCCTATTAATGTATCTCTGTTATAGAGTTTATTTTATGGGGTGGGAAAACTGAACTGTTTAAAAGAAAACTATTAGTGAAACAGAAAAATGCGATCTTATTCTCTATTTACTTATTCTTGATGAAGTGAGTTGACTAGTGTCAGGCAGTGAGATGAAGGCTGCACAGGTCACACGGCTACTTTAGGCTACGGAATGATGGCTGCTTGACCACTGCGCTGAGACAACACAAGAACGCGCTTTGTGACTGGTCCCTCAGAAACGGTTGTGAAGGGCATTCTGGAGGGTGTGCAGGAAGACGACTCACATCCAGGCAGGATGGAGTGGGTCAGCCTCAGGTTGGTTCACAACACTGGGAATAGAGTATAATTTACAACTTAAGTTCTGTGTATTTCAGGAATTTCCTATTTTCTATTTTCAAGCCACAGTTCACCCTGGGCCATGGAAAATGAAGCACCAGAGAAGAGAGCAGACATGGCTTCTAGTCTCCACACTGACACTGTATTACATCAGTGGGGGTTCGATAGGAATTCCTAGTGATAGAATTTGTGTACCTTCGAAAGAACTGGTGAGGTTTATTATGCAGAATGGGGTAAGAAAGAAGGACAGAGGAATTTAAACTCTTAGGTTTAAAACAAGTGATACTGTGTTAACTCTGTGTGTGTGTGTGTGTGTGTGTGTGTGTGTGTGTGTGTGTGTATTCATGTATTCATGTTTGGGCATGGGTGGTCATGCAATGCATAACATGGTGGCTATAGAGATCAAAGGTCAAAGTTGGATGTCTTTTATCATTGCCCACCTCATTAAGACTTGGTCTTTTTAACTAAGCCAGGCTTTTTCCTATTAAGCTAGACTGGCTGGCCAGCAAGCCCTAGGAAGCCTCCTACCTCACAAATACCTGAATTGGGAGTAGAGGTAGATACCTTCATACTAAGGTTTTCCTGTGAGTTCTGGGTTTCTGTTCCAGGTTCTCATATTTGCACAGTAAACAGTCTAGCCATTCAGTAAATCACTAGGAAAATCTATAGAATTTTTAAATGGTGGAGGCTTTCTTTTCCTTCTAATTTATCTGAATTGACCTCTGTTTACATGGCACTGAGGACACTCTACATTAACCTTTAATCATAGTAATGACCTTTGCTCTGAATAATTAAATGATGATTAATTAGATGAGCACACATCAACTGACACCAGGAACTTCCTATAGGAATATATTCTTTTCATGTCAGGAAAGCACATCCTGTAGACATTATAATATTTACCTTAAAGTCAATGTCTGTACAGCAGGTGCATGGAACACATGGACCAACAACTTTCAGAACATCCTGCTTCTTCTCATTTTGAAGAGTGAATTTTGGCAGACAAGGATGCCAGGTCTGAGTCACATACCCTACCGGCACACCAGGAGGAGCCTGGATTTCTATCTACAAAAGCAAGAGTGCATGTTGAATGTAACCATGGCCAAACCATCCAGGTGTAATGCATTCTTAAAAACTCTTATTGCACTTCTCAGTTGCTGTGGGAACGTCACACTGACCTCCTGGAGGCAGCAGGGAAAGAAACAGCTACTGCATCTCAGGGGTCTCTCCAGAGTCATGATTTCTCGGCCAAGATTATCCAGGATCCTCAAGGTGAAAGGTCTAGATGCTTCACAGCAGTTTCGAGTGCAGCAGTCAGTATCTTCCACAGCTAAGTAAACCATCTGCCCAAGGCTGTTCTTGATTTCAAATTTATTATTTGTTTCAAAGCCTGTTACGACTGAAAACAACAGGGGAAACCACATTGACCACTTTGTTAGGAATGGTGACTCTCTCCTAAGGCAGCAGTGGGAAGGTGTGCCTGAGACTGCAGGGAGCAGCAGGAAAGGGGAGACAAGCAGTGGAGAGGTGATCTGGATTCGGGACATGGTAGTGGGAAAGGAGGAGAATATTAAGGTAAGGAGGAAAGATGTCCATATGTGAGACTTCCTAAGGGAGCAAGATGCATCTCCACCTCCAAGGACTCTATCACAAAGAGCTCCAGTTTCTGTACAGTGCTGCTGGGGAAAGTAGAGCTAGGTGTTTGGATAAACGCCCAGTTATCTCATCTGGCAGAGTTTTCTTTAGAGATTACAGAGTGATTGTTGTGTTTCTAGTCTCTAAATTGAATCACTGGCTTGTGATTTTGATGTGTGTGTGTGTGTGTGTGTGTGTGTGTGTGTGGTTTTCAAACACACATCTACCCACATTATTTGAGCAAAAACAGTAAGAGGGTCTTTCTAAAAGCACAGATGTAAAAATGGGAGTGAATCAGAACAGGATATTGGGCCAGAGAATCTGAAAACAAGCTGTTATATATTAAGCATGCTTGCCCTAACAAAAGTAGTTTATAGATTCTTTGAAATAGGACCATTGGACTATGATAAAAGCAAAATCAGTTCTAGCTGTACTTATTCCATTGTAACTGACCAAACAATCCTGGAGATGTTATAGAAAATCAAACAAACATTCAGACATGAAATAATATCTACATCCTTTGAAAAATAGTATGTCCGTCTTTGTTTTATAAATAAAGCAACCTGATCACTAGTTAGTCAGTCAGTCTGCAAGATTCTCTGGACCATCCTGCCTAACTCACTTCTTTACCTCTTTTCCAGTCCAGACCTGTCAATGGCTGGGGCTGGTCCCAGGCACAGGTATTTTCTATATATCAGCCAACTTTTTATAATACCCAGCTAGCAAGAGGAGAACACTGGCTCATACAGCTTTCCTGGATGCTTTCTCCTGGTGGGTGTGGTGATGCTCCTAGAGGTGTCTTAAGTTCTTTTTGCATCTGGGCATGCTAGATCCAAGGAGGCATCTGGAAGCACTTTTCCCACTCAGAACAGGAGTATTCTGTGAGGAGCAGCCTTGAGGGGCTGTACTCAGTTCCTCCAACACCATAGGGCCTCAACTGGGAATCCAGAGCCCACAGTGTACAGATTCTATAGGCCTTCTCTGTACTACCAACAGAAGCTGGGGTAGCTAACAATATTTCACAAAGGACCCCTGTCCTAATTCCTAATGACTATTCACTACGGGGGTCAACCACTGTCTGAGGTTCTGTTCAAGTCTCAAAGTGGTCACAGGCTAGCAGAGACTGACTAAGAGATAGGAGTTAGGTGAAGGGCAAGATTATCTTAGTGCAAGCAGAGAAAGAGCACAAACATGCACTGTTCCCTTTCTAATACAGTGAGATTTCGTGGGTACACACGTTCAGCAAAGGAAGTTTGATCACCTGACGCCTACGTCTCAGAAGTGGACAGGAGATGGTATTCATAATCTCTTTACAGTGAAGAGAGCTGTCTGTAGCCTCCTGACTGAACCTCCCACAGAAGAGTGCTGTAGAAGACGCAACTCTCAGGCCATTAACTGTATGAACTGATCCTGTTTCTAGAAATACCATCAATGCAACAGATACACACCTTCCAGAAGTTCGGTTTGCTGATGAATCAGAATCTGGTCTATCTGCTCCAGAAAAGAGAACATGCATGGAATTATTATCAATTCCTAGCAGGATGAACATTTCACACTTTGCAGTATATTTCCAATAGCATTAAATTTAATATGTAAATGACCACTATTTATTTACAGATGTATTTATTTTTATGTGCATGAATGCTCTGCCTACATGCATGTACCCCTTGTATGCAACACTTTCAGAGGCCAGAAGTGGGACACAGACTCTGTGACACTGGAGTTGAAGATGGTTACAAGTGGCCATGTGGGTGCTGGGAATCAAACCTGGGTCCTCTGCAAGAATAGCAACTCCTCTTAATTCTTCGACGATTTCTCAAGACCCAGCACCAGTTCGTTTAAAATGGTAAAAGGGGAGAATTTTTAAGTCAAATAAAGTTGATTTATAATGGAATTCTCATAAAATTACAAAACAGTGATGAGATTGATTGATTATCTATCCATTCAAATCATTTTCTTATAGGAATCTATCACTTTTAGTGATAATTTTCATTCATAGTTTCTTTTCCATGATTAAATTATGTATATTACAGGGTATTCTTTTTAAAGATTACAATTAGCACTGAGATTTCTCTTCTTCTGTTTAAATAATCCACTAAGTCCAGTCAGCGCTGCCCATGTGTACATAGGTGGACAGGCATACGGTGGAGCATGGGAAGGCTACCAGTGGTCACACCCATAAAGAAGAACGGGTTTCCTTCCCCAGCAGCTAGCAAGTGTCCAGAGCTCCTCAGTTAGGAATAGGAACTCAGGAGCCCCTCCAGGTTCAGTGGAGGAACTCTGCTTGGCTCATCTTGTTCAGGTAACCATATCCGCCGTGAATTCCTGAGTTCAACAGTCATATCTCATCCAAAACTCTGCACGCGTGAGTTTGTGCGTGTGTGTGTGTGTGTGTGTGTGTGTGTGTGTGTGTGTGTGTGTGAATTCATAACAATGTCCTCTTTAAGGCTGAGCATTCAAAATGACTGAACATTTCTAAGTATGATGTTTGAACGCACATAGGAAATGTTAGTGCCATGTGTGCCAGACAAACTAGAGATGCCTTGGCTATCTCAGGGTCCTCTCGATGTGTTCATGGATTGGGTGTACCTCACAGTCCTCTTTTTACCTCAGTAGCTTTTTTTTTGGTGTTTTTGAGACAGGGTTTCTCTGTATTGTTTTGGAGGCTATCCTGGAACTTGCTATGTAGACCAGGCTGGCCTGGAACTCACAGACATCTGCCTGCCTCTGCCTCCCGAGTGCTGGGATTAAAGCATGTGCCAACAACCCTCACTGACTTTTGAACTTTGTATTTTTGCTAAAATTCATTATCATTGAACTATAGTTCAGCAAAACCCAGACTTTCTTCCCTCACTGGAAACAATTATAGTATTGGATTTCCTAACGAATAAAGGCAGATTTATAGTCTATAACACTACATATATGAAAAAATTACTCTTTCCCAGCAGTGGTGAAGCACTCCTTGAATCCCAGCACTTAGCAGGCAGAGAGTCAGGAGGATCTCATGTCCAAGGCAAGCCTGATCTACAAAGTGAGTTCCAGGACAGCCAGGGCTGCACAAAAAAAAATCCTGTCTCCAAAACAAAAAAAAAAAAAATAGTGAAAAGAGAAAAAATTTAAAATTGCTGTTTTTTAGGTATCAGTTAAAGATAATAACTAATTTTTTTAATACTTTCTTTTTTCAAATACCAGTGCTGTGGGTCAGTCTTGGGACAAAAGCTTTTATAGTCATTACTAAAGTTCACATTTTAAAAGTAAATCACAATGACTGTTCCATGGTTTTTGAGCCTTCACAAAGCAGTTAATATCTTTTGACACTGGTTTCCCTCTTTGAAAAAAGCAGTGATAATCTTGTGTACATGTTACAGATTTTCTAAGGATTATACTTGGAACGATGACTAGAATAATGTATAATAAATACTTCTGTTGGCTATTATAGGGCAAACTCACATGAAAACACAATTGTCTCACACACTGATAATTTTCTTAACAACTGAACTTCATCTAGAGGAACGGTACTACGAGTAAACAGAAGACAAAGGAAAATGCTATGCTTTGGTGAATTATTCATTTGTTGTCCAAGTAAACGGAAAATAGAAATACAGTTTTGTCTTTTGTGAGTTCTGAATATATGGATTTACCTGACTTAAGTATTCTAGCCCAGGTGGGCAGTTCCGAAGAGGTGGCGGTGCTGGCATCCATTGGCTATTAACAATGACGATAGTCTGGTTATTTTGCATAGGAATAGGAGACCTTGTATAGCCAGCCTGAGGCCCTGGGTAACCAGACTGGGGACCTTGGTAGTCAGTCTGGAATGTAGGGTGTCCAGTATGCTTTGGAGGTCCTTCAATAGGGGCAAGAAAAATGATTTGCAACTTTATAGAGAAAAGTATCATCATTTCATGTAGAATTATCCTGAGGCCTCTCCACTCAGAAGTTCTGGTCTATGATGCTTAAGACTTTTCAATGCAGTATCTGTGGTTTATACATGCTTCTAATTATAGGTATAAACAACCAAGTTTATTGTTATACTAGTTATAATCAGCCAAGATGTGAGATAAGCCTAGATACCTACCAACAGATGATGAAGAAAATTACACACACACACACACACACACACACACACACACACACACACGGTTCAGAGCAACAAAGCAAAGCTTACAACAATACTAAAAATTAAATTAGCAAAGTAACACATTATATTGTGACACTGACATATCTGAATATCACACCCTTTGCTCACAATTCATCTTCCATTGCTGTCTTGTGTACCAGCCTATATCTTCCCACTGGATTCTGACTAGTCCCTCAGATAACTGAGTCTTCTTTTCATCATGTACAGTCATGGTTTTATAACTAGATTCCACACACAAAATTAATAATAAATAATAAATATCTGTCTTTGGAAATCTGACTTGTATCTCTCTCTCTCTCTCTCTCTCTCTCTCTCTGTGTGTGTGTGTGTGTGTGTGTGTGTGTGTTTTGTTTTTTGGCATTTGTTTTTTGAGACGGTTTTTACTACACTGCCCTGGCTGGCAGGTCTTTAACTTGCTATGTAGGCCAAACTGGTGCCAAACTCACAGAGATCTACCTGTCTCTGCCTCCCGATTGCTGGGATTAACCGTGTGCACCATCATACCCAGCCTGGTTTGTATCTCTTAATATGGTGTGTCTAGTTTCATCCATCTTCTACAAATGACATTTCATTCTTCTTTCTGACTTAAAACCTGTGTGTGTGTGTGTGTGTGTGTGTGTGTGTGTGTATGTGCGCTTCTTTCATCTGTTGATAAGCATCAAGTGTGACTCCATATTTTGGCTATTACAAATAGTATAGTAGTAACTGTGAATAAATGTTTGACTGTGGTATGCTGACATATTCCTTTAGAAGGGGATTACATGATAGTTCCATTTTAATTTTTGGAGGGACCTCCAATACTAATTCTTTTATTGACTGCACTAATTTACCAGAAGCATGTAAGTCCCCCCCCCACCCATAACATTTATTGCTGTTTGCTTGAAGTGGACTGAGTGGGTCCCTGCAGGTGTTATACAGAGAAGGGAACGGTGTAAAAGAGATAAGAGTGAAACCCAGTGCATATTGACTTCATCAGACTTCCAGGAGTCTAATAGGAGGCGGTTTATTTACAATGTGTTTAAGTGTAACATGAAAAATAAAAACCCAGAGACAGATATTCGAGTTCATGCTGAAGATCAGAGAAACAAAGCAGCCAGCCACTATTGCTTACCTCTATCTTAGACCACAATGGCTGATTCTGTCTCCAGGATTACTCAGAGGCAAAATGCTCTGAGTTCCTGTCTCCTCTTGCCTTATATTCATTTCTCCACCCAGCCATATCACTCCTATCTCCACCTCCCTAGTCTTGGGATTAAAGTTATGTGATCCCAAGTGCTAGGATCACCTTTGTGTGAGCTGTTTCTCTTTTAGACTGGAACAATTTCTTGTAGTTCAGTTTGGTCTTGAACAAACAAGAGATCAGTCTGCCTCTGTCTCCTGAGTCCTGGGACTAAAGGTGTATACCACCACTGCCTGGCCTCTATGGCTTGTGGCTGACTTTGCATTTTGATCTCCAGTTTAGATCATCAACAATATGTCACCACATTTAATCCTAGTATTGTTGTAGGACATTTGTACACTGTGTGAAGATGTATTGCTGTGATTAGTGTAATAAAAAACTGAACAGCCAATAACTAGGCAGGAGATATAGGTGGGACTTTTGGGCAGTCCAGAAAGATAAGGTATCAAGCTGTTGTGCCCAAATTCTGGACCCCAAAAATCACCACGAGGTCCATTTTGATGCAAAAGCAAAGAGTTCTTTATTGTAGATGTTTAACAAGCTAAACCCATTAGCTAGGGTCCTTTACCCCGCCACCAGGGCGAATGGCTGGAGAAAGACCCCAAACAACCTTGAGGCAGAGATCTTAAAGGGCAGCATAAGCGGAGTGTCTAGGGGTATGAAACAGTCTCAGGATTGGTGTGCTTCCAGGTTTGAGTGACCCGTCCTTTGTTGATTGGTCAACTGGTTGTTATGGCCCATAGGCCCTCCCAGGGCGGTTGCTATGCTCTGCAAGTCACTGTTGTGCACAGTTCTTAAAGCACACCCAGAGCTGTAAAGCACAGCCCTGCCAGCTAACTTCTGATTGGTTCCCTGCCACGAGGAGGGCATCTGACCTTAGTGACCAGGACAGGAGCAGCAAGGTCATGCAAGCACATGTTAGCCTGTAATGGCTGCTAAAATGGGGGACTGGTCACTACAAAGCCACTTGACAAAACACAGATTAAAAAATATGACCTAGGTTATAAGAAGTAGTTAGGGGAAAACCTAACTTTTATAATTAAGGCTAAGCTTTTTATAATTAATAGTAAGTCTCCCAGGTTATTTGTAAGTTTGCGGTCCAAAGAAAAATCTGTCTACACAATAAAACTTGGAAAAAGTTTCCTGGTCTAATACAATCCCCACTGAACAAGGAAGCATAAGTACCTTAAAGCTCAACTCAGGAAACTTGTCATTTCTTCCACAAAGATGGGTTCTAGAGATACACTGCATGTACCTTAAGGGCATACAGCTGAGTCTGGCCTGGTCTGGACCATGGTCATACACATAGCTTAGAGATTATCTTTGCCATTAGCCACCTCTGATCCTAATTGTGGGAGTTTGGAGGAGAGTCTGACTCTAAGGGACATTTGGGTTATTAGTTACCTCCTGTCCTGGTTGTAGGAGCTTGATATGGCCTGACAGGATCACAAGGCAGTTAATCATTTCCAGTTCTCAGGTTTCTGGATGGAAGGACAGGTTTTTCATCTTTCCCAAAACAAGTTACCTCTTTTTTTTTTTTACTATACTCCATAGCTGATACTAACTGACTACAACATGTATGCCTATTTTACATCAGTTTTAAGGTCAATCAAACTGTCCTATGGGTGCCTAGGCTAAATTATGAACAATCTAGGAGGTCTCCATGTCTGTTCTGAGAAATCAGAACAGCCTTTCTCAACCCAGGCTTCAGATTGCAAACACCTGGCTTCTCAGAAAATTAGCAGTCATTGTTTAGAGGTGTGGTTTAATTTCCCTGCAAATGCTCTCTATATTAGTATTTTTAAATGAAAATTAATGACAGCCATGGTTGTGAATGGCTGCCTTAGAGCGCTGGAGCTTAGCCAGCTCCTATTCCTTTAATTGCAAACATCTGGATAAGATCTGAGACCCATGGGGCATTTTCTAAGACAATTACACAGGCCATTCAACTCCCAAGCCAATCTGTTTACTCAGAATAGAAAACTAACTCATATACCCTTCTGCCAAACCAGAACACCTTTGATATTAACCCCCAGGGTGCTCTTTGAAGATCTGTGTATCCTACTACTGATAAAACTGGGTACACCATATACATTGCAATTTACAAAAGTCTAGTCATGCCAACAATTGAATTTGCCTAGATCTCTGATATAGTTTATGGTTTGAAAAGACAAATGAACATCTAGTATGTATTATATGTGACTAAAGAATGGGGCAGCATTTCTAAAGGAGTAAGTCTTGTATGTGTTACACAATGAAAATAAAGGAGTAAGTCTTGTATGTTTTACACAATGAAAATGAGGGTTACTATAAAGTGGGCATTTCTGTAGTAGGCAGCTTCCAGTTTTATGTTTTTATTACTTTTCACTGAGTACAATTAATTCTAAATACTTCATGGTTCAAAAAAACCCACAGTTCAACCTTCTAAAAATCCTTACATGAAGCAATTTTCAGCACAGATGAACAGCCAACAAAACATTTATTTTACTTACTATCTGTATCAATATTTAATTTACTTTCAATGTTACCTTTTACAAGTAAATATAAATGTGTGTATTGGATTAGTTTTTCATAATGTTTACTGTCCTTTATAAATAAAAAGTACTTCTTTGGAAAGCATGTAGACAGTCTAAAACAAAACCAAACCTAGGCCACTAACATTTCTTCAATGAAATTTTAAGAAAAAATAATTATTAAGATAAAGATATAGTCACCACCTCTTTCACTTTCCTGGGAACATCAATTAATTAGAGTTACTTTATTGTTTTCTTCTTCAACAAGTGTTTTACCTTGGAATGCTGCTGAAGGATCCCGAGGGGCATACTCAGCTGGCAAATAAGTTCCTGGGCGAGAAGCCTCCATTTGCAAGCCTGCAATTCAAGGAGAGGTACATGTTTACCAGCCCAAGTGAGATGCGCATCGGCAAGAACAGTGCACAGTGCCAAGATAATGTGTGATGCTGAACCAAAGCATGCAGAGTAAATTCAACACATTAAGCTGTGCCTGTAAAACAGCCAGCATGTAACAGACTCCTGTTTGCAGCAACTTCTCTTCTAGGTAGCTTGAGGCAGCTCTGTGACTGGGGCTGAATTCCTAGGACTTTTCATCTGTGACATTAGGACAAAGATAATTTTAAAAGCACACATAGATAAGCAGTGTAGAAAGTAATACAACTCCCTGTATGTGGTGATGGTACCGCTAACAGTGTCGATTGTTTTTTAATAACTATCTTCATTAATTCTTGGAGAATTTCATACAATGTATTTTTGTTGTATTCAGTCCAATTCCTCCCTTCACTCCTCCCAGGAGAGTACAAACTGGAGACAATGGTTTATTAAACTGAATAAGTGTCTGTAATCATCGCCTTGAGAATTAATTTAGGGTCCCGATGCCTCAAACTGTTAAGAGCACTTGCTGCTTGTTGGGAGGACTAGAGTTCTGCTACCAGCATTCATGCTTGGCAATTCACAACTACCTGCCACTCTGGCCCTAGTGGCTCTAACAGTCTTGGCCTCTGGGGGTATCTGCACACATAGTTTCACACACACACACACACACACACACACAGAGGCACATAAATAAAAAAAAACAAAATAAATATTTAGTACGTACATTCTATTACCATTTTTATCATTACCCTGAAACTGTGCTACTGGGGCTGTGTTATTATCTACAGGCTGCTTCTTAAGCAATGACCAAAGCAGCAGGGGCCCCTGCCCAAGGCAATTCTGTCTCTTCAGGCACCCACTCTTTTCAAAGATACTAAGGGAAACTTTATGTAAACCGGAAACACTCACAATTCAAGGTTTGAGGTGAAATTCTGCTGGCTCAGAGAGACTGAACATCAAGTAGCTAACTTCCATTTGCTGGAATCTTCCAAACAACCTGTCAGTCTTCTCTCTACCCCTACTTAAAAACCCTTGGAAAGTGGGTTTCCTGCCTATCGCTTCCTGTCAGCTACTTGCTGACTCAGCCTCCTGCTTGCAGGTTCATTTTATTTAATCAAACACATCTTTGAACTATTAAGAAAAGCAGAAGGAAAAACCATGCAACATGCTTTAAAATAATATTCCCCAACAGGGCTGAAGTGTACAAAGTTTCTAAGTTATTACTGACTTCAAACAAAACTATAGGATTCACTGATAGTCAAGTAACATATTACAATGTTATCTTCTATATATAACATCTTGAATCATCTTAATATGTGTACACGTTTTTCAGTCTACTACTTCTCCAGTGAGTCATTTACCCATCTCAAGTAGTAAATAAATAGGAAGTGAGCACCTTCATTCATTTATGTGTTCGCAGGAAAGCCTAGACTGAAGTCATTCTTTTTCAATTGTTTCATAACAACTTCAGCAGTATGAGTCCATGGCAACCATAAATTCAGGAAACAAAGACTCCCTTGCCCAAATTCCTGTAACATACCCACCATTGTCGAAAATCTCTGAAGTTCCACCGGTGATTCCCTTAGAACTGTTGTCTCCTACTTCTCTGCTACAGATGAGTGGCCTGGACGCTAGTTCTCCTGTCTGTTAAAGCCATGCCTGTAGCCACACTCTCACCCTGGGTCTCAGGGCATTTCTAAAGGAAACGCACTACAGCCCTGATGCTATCTATGCTGAACTGGGATGGTATACAATCACCACTTTTGAATAATATAAACTGCACACATGTAACCAGGACCAATGGACTCAGTAAGTCAGGAGTTCATAGTCTCTGGGGTTTAGGTAGCAAAGGAAGGACTCTAATTTCAGGTGTCCCAAGAGGAATTCATGTGAAGAAGAAATTAAGCTAATGGACAGATGCTCAAGTACAGCAAAAACATAATAATTACAGATTAATTTCTGTATTAGGAACATAAAAATAATAGAATTATTATTTTATCTGGAAGATATGACCTTCTTTTTATATACATATATTCCTATTTTTGCCTTGCATGCATAATTATTCTCATTTATACAGAACTTCTATTTAGGCATATAAATACACACATGCATACTTACATATATGCATACATGTATAACTGTGTATGTGAAACAAAAGAATTAATGTGACTTTAGCCAAATGAATCTTTCTAAACTGAGCTGAGCCATCCTGAAGCTTCTACCAAATAAAGTAACTTAAGGCAACCTACGCTGACATTTTAAAGCATTTGGTGGAATTTTACACTAAGTAAGTCAAGGCTGCAGTTGTTAATAAAGATCAACTCCTTAGGGGAAATATAAGAAGATGGTCTGATATGTCTATCAGCGCTAACTTGATGCAAAACACATCAGTTTGCTGCTAGTTCAACAAAGACAAAAGAAGAAAATTCAAGATCATTTCAGAAAAGCATTTTTTTCTCTAAGAAAAATCTTTCATTAAACACCCTGTATAAACTGTAGAGATTCTGGTCAATGTAATAACAAGTATGAGGGAGAAACAGTCACCAGACCAGAAATGATACTTAAAATGTTTAATAACATCTGCTTCAAGAGCGACAGAAGCAAACAGCTTCTGAGAGAATGACCCTCCTGCGAGGGAATGGGTGTCTGAAACATGTAAGAACAATTAGTTGCTCTTAATGGACTTCTGTGCATTTCAGTTGTGAGCACCCCTTTGTCTTGTTAAGTAATATGTTTTATATAGCACTAACCTTCCTTTGTGAGAGTGGTCCTTGGATGTGAGCAGTCTGGCACGTTAGAAGCTAATCTCTAACCTTTGTGTGAGACTTCACAAGTACTAGGTCCAGCTACTAGTAGTCAAGGACTGATTATTCCGGTTGGAGGTAGTTGGTTTTGTTTTTGGCCCCTTTGTCTCTTTAATTAACATTTTTACAAATGTTGACAGTAGATGCCTCCCAAATGGGGCCAAGGCTATGACCTCCATGGAGATAGAACCCTTTGCTGAATCAAACAGGAAATTGTGTTTACCACCTAAAGACCATCCTGAAAGGGAAGTCACAAAGGACACCTCTAAAGAAACTCTAGAGAATGGAAGAACTGTCTCCTTGTTAAAAAAGGCCCCTGAAAAATAACCCTAAACCCCTACCTGCCTACAGGCAAACCTTACTGAGCTACGTTTTACCTCTCCAGCCAGAGTCCCTGTGCCCACCTCCACTTTCCCGGCTTCTGGACACCTTTCCCAGCCTCCAGGCCACAACTCCACCTTCAGATTCCTCCTCCTGGGGCCTCTGTAATTCCTGGGTTCTGCGAAGGCAAGGGATTCTCCTGAGACAGACAGGGCAGCTGGCTTACCTTTGTTAAGTAGCAAATCTGGAACCCGCAGTGGCTCTGCTTTCCAAATCTCCCTGCAAAAAGTGCAGGTGCCACACTCTATTCAAGCGCAGGAGAAAAACCCGCGAAGTGAAGTGAGTCTGGGGCAGCTGCCTGTGGCTTGGGTTTCGTTTTCCTGAGCTTTGCATGTAAAAAACTTTCCTTTTCCTGCCTGAAAGGTAGGCCCCTTCACCCTAGGTGTAACCCAGCCAAACAGAGAGCTGAGTTCTGGGGCCCTTAGTGCTCTCCTGCTCCCAGCTCTGAGGGAGAGATGATATAGTCTGTGTACATTTCCGGAACGCTAAGAGAATTTACAGGGGAATTTCCCTTAACCTGACCTCCAAGTCTTTCTTTAGACTCTGGAACTCAAGGATGCTTTTGCTCCTTCTCTTTTTGTTTATGTTTGCTTTTCTCGGTTTGTTTGTGTGGGGATGGGAGACTTTGAGTATTTATCCTAGTAGTCCTCAAATCTCCAGCCAATGTTATTTTTCCTTGTGGTATTTTTGTCATTGAAGAGCCCAGAAATATGAAAAATTTTAGAATTTCCGCATATAGCCTATACACATAGCACTGACACCTGTTTTACTCTTTGCCCTGTATACTCCCAGATAAGGAAAGACAATTTATGGGAACCCATGACTATGTCATCATTTTGAATTCACACCCGTAATCAGAGGCTGTAAACCCCAACTCTTGGAATGCACTCCCCAGGGGCCATAAAACCAAACAGTTGCACTCACCCTCCAAGGAGCTGCTCTATCCCTAGGTCAGAAATCCCAACTCCAGGCACCATATTGCCCAGAGGTGGTCTTATTGTTGGGTCCCAAACAAGGACAAAGAGCTGAGGTTTTAGTGACTTATCAAAGCAGATGCTGGCCACAAGGTTTCCTCTCTGTCCCTCAGAGTCTGGCTGGCATACCCACCCCACTATCCTAAAACTTCTCCAGCCCATGAGCTGAACTGCCCTGCCCCCAGCTGCCCTTCTCCATATAACCCAACCATTTTGATTGCATGGCCTGTTTCTTGGTCTACCCTTTGTGTCTTGGCCAGTCTCTTGGCCCAGGATGCCCCTCTTAGTGAGCCATCACCTTTCCCCTTCTCTTCACATGGCCCAGCTCAGTCTATCCCTGTTCACCACGGACTCTTCAGATGCCTCTGCCTCTGACTTAAGCTCTCCCTCTTATCTACAATAAACCTTCTTCAGCATACCTAGGAGCAGTCATGGCCTTTCTTTTTTATTTCTTTTTTTATTCACTATGACCTACTATCTTGCTATAACAGCAAATTTCATGAGATCAGTTTACGAAAACTCTTCAACATCTGCAGGGGTGGGGGCTGGAGAGTGGGCTGCTAGGGTACAGTTTGCACAAGATAGGGACTTACATGTGTTTAGTGAAATGTTGTTTACTCTTTTGACTTTTCGAGGGGCCCACCACCCAACTCCCAAATAAATCACACAAGGAGTCTTAGTGTTACTTTTGAATGCCTGGCCTTAGCTTGGCTTATTGCTAGCCAGCTTTTCTTAACCTTTCCCTCTGGGCTTTATCTTTCTTACTTCTGTATATCTTACTTTACTTCTTTCTCCATGGGGGTGGCTGGGTGACAATCCCCCTCTCCTTCTTCTCTTGCTGCTCCTCTTCCTCCTAGATTCTCCTTCTATTTATACTCTCTACCTACCAGCCCCGCCTAGTCTTGCTCCTGCCTTGCTATTGGGCAGCAGTTTGGCTCTTCATTAGACCATCAGGTGTTTAGACAGGCAAAGAATCACGGCTTCACAGAGTTAACCAAATGCAGCATAAGCAAAAGTCACACACCTTAAGATAATATTCTACCACATACATGTTAGAGACATTGTTTCACTTTATTGATCTCTCAACATTAGTAAGTACAAACTTTAAACATAACTTTAACCATCACAGATCATATTTCTTAAGTTCATTTTTCCTATCTCCCTTTACTCCTCCCTGCTAAATGACTACAGAATTCTTAACAGATAAAAATTCTAGAGAGGGACTAGGAGTTAGATTCCCTGATAGGCAGAGAGGAAGTGAGGACATGGCTACATAGTAAAGATAGCAAACTTCCAAAGGGCTGTTTTCAACTTCACCCTCCTGACCCAAGACAAAAAGCTGGCAGCTTAAAACAAGGGTCTAGTGACCTTTTTCTCTTATTGTCAGAGCCAAAGTGGCATTTTTAAGTTTTAACTACCACACCTTAGACATCCATGAAACAGAAAGATTCCTCTCTGATCTGCAAGCAATTCCCTTGCCCATGGACAGTGCCTGAAATGTTAGAGGCTATTGTTCATGGGAGATAACAAACCACATGTTTCTACTAAACAAGTTTGTTTGACACTCGATGCGCTTTATCCCATGTGGGTGGGAGGTTTACAGTCAGGACATATTCAGGATGGACGCTTGTCCCTGATTGGACCTGACAGGCAATACTTAAACCACTGCCAACAGTGCAAACAGTGGCCATTTTTTTTTTTCTGGAAAACCAGGCATGAACATGGCCAGAGCCTATCCACCTGGCCAGTATCTAATTAAAGCTTGTTTCAAATTTGGTTTTCAATTATGGTAGTGGTCTTATTCTCCACTGGTGGGATTCACACTGTTCTTAGGTCCCCTGCTGAATTTGCTGAACAGGTTCAAAACCTGGTCAGGACTTATTTATAGAGCAGTTATGGGCCAATCTGTCCTCCTTGTCTGTCTTCAAACTGAACTCTTAATTAGGGGAGGAAGACTCTTCAGAGACTTAAAAACGCAGCCCTCGAGAAGAGAGTGGGTTTTTGGCTTCCTGACTTCCCCCTGTGCTTTATGGAGGGTCTTTTCCTCTGTTTGTTCCAACCCTGTTTTCTCACTCCCAGTAACAGCCTCTCTTCAAATGCCCATTCTGTTTGCTGTGTTTGAGCTTTCTCCATGGTTACCTCTCAAGCTTGAGATTTTCCCTGACTGTTAATTCTTTAACTGGAATAGTAAATGAACACCATCAAGAGCCCTATATGGTAACACTAGTCTATAGCAATGATAGAGATTTTATTCCATAAAGAGTAAGTTGTGCCCTTAACTAAAGACAGACCATATTCCATTTAAAAATAAAAGCCATAGTTAAGGATGTAATTGAATTGGTAGAGGGCCTAGCTCTCCAAAAGGCCCTGGGTTCCCCAGAGATGGGGAAAACTGTTATTTGGGGTGCTGTAAAACCATGCAACTAGATCCCTCTGTGGATAGGTAAAAGGTCTATTTAAGAATCAACGATGGATCTGTCTCTGGGTAATTAGAATAGCAAATGGCAGAAAGAGCCTTGCCAGTTTAAGGGCAAAGGTCGCAGCAGGGGGAGGCATGCGAGGCAGAACAGCCTGGGAGGTAAAACAGGCAGAGAGGCAAGGGAAACCTAACAGCCTAGGAACTTGATGGGGACTTTGACCATTTACAGGCTCCTTCGCTTTAATTAGGAACTATATGATCACTGAAGGGGTGGGTAAGCGAAGTAATTGCTTTTCCTGTCAAGCAAAATGCATGCCGGTCACAAGATTGCTAAGGAATGGGGCCTTCCGGTTTTTGGTGTACCCACTAGCAATCCTTCTGTTTACCCGGTCAGAGTTCAGCCTCAGCTGAGTCCAGAGTGCTGTTTAGAGCATTGCCAGTAGCACTACCATTAGGGGGTCCACCTTCCAACAACAACTTAAAAATAGATATGTAGGTTTTTATTTGAGGTATTCAACTGTAGTTGTAGTCAATAATTGATGAAGTTTACATATGTTCCATTTACTTAACATCTGAGCAGTAACTGATTATTCTAGAATTACTAGAATTACAAGAGCTAAACATTTCATGTGCCACCAGAAAATTTTTGAGTTTTTAAAATGAGTCTTCCTTTAGTAGAAAATCATGACTTCCTTTATTCACTTAAAAGTTGTCAATACAAGTCTTATCAGGTGGAGTATGATGGCACAAGCCTTTAATCCCAGCACTCAGGGAAGAAGCAGGAGGATCTCTGTGAGTTCAAAGAGCCAGATCTCTATAACAAGGTCCAGGCTAGCCAGGGCTACACCTTGAGACCCTGTCACAAAAGCACGCGCGCACACACACACACACACACACATACACAGTACCATTATAATATAATATATTTAACTATATTATATTATTATGTTATAAATATGTTATTAGTATAAAAAGTATATAAGTAGACTGACATAACTATACTGATTTTCTAAAGAGAGAACAAAAACCCATTTACTGTTTCCTTACTAATGACTATATTGGGTAATAATTAACCCTAAGGTAAAGGAAACAGGATCATATTTTAAAGGTTTTAAATAGATAGTATTTATAAGATAACATAGGTCTTTTGTGTAAATTATAATTACGTTTATGTGTAATTTCACATTAAATTACAATATTTAAATTTTTATAAAGTGAAAAATGAATCAAAGGTTGTGATCCAAAGCATTTTTCTTAGACAATGTCATTTCTATGTGTAAAATTTCATATATTTTCTCACTACTTCACAGTGAACACTTTAGGGATGTATAAAAAGTACTGAACATAAACTATAATTTCAAAGCACAGTTGTACAACAGGAGGTATAGGCATCATAGGTTGATCGGCACAGTTGTTCCAGTAAAGGAAGAGCCGTGTGTCTTCCTTTTAGATAGTGTCCCTCAGAATGTATCCTTAAGTCTCTTGTGGAAGCTCAAGGAACTACTGCCATACTCCTGCTCTTTGGTCCTCGTTTCCAGTTCTTTCAAAAAACATGAAATCCTGAAGAAGAAGAAGAAGAAGAAGAAGAAAAAACAGAAGAGTTTTTAACAGCAAAACAGAGAGCAATCTCCACATACAAAGGGAAGCTAAAAACTAAGCAGCATAAGAACAATGGGAAAACCCAGCTCAGCAAGCTCCGCCTTTCCCTGCCCACTTTATCAGCCATCAGATCAACCCTTCTCCCTTTGCTCTGTTCAGTGTCACTAATGTCCTCATAAATTAGTCCTCCAGACACCACGTTTTCATATCCCCCTTGAAATGTTTTTTTCTTGCTTCCTTAACTTTTGTTAGTCCTTTCTAGGAATGTAATGTCTTTAGTGACAGGAGTTGCAGGCTCAGCTTTTGACTTGGGGCTGATGCAGCCTTCTTGGTCAGAAAGCATCACTGGAGGAGTTCACTGGCCCTGGGCCAGCAGCTCCCCTATGAACGGCTAACTGGCTCCCCAGACCATTTTGCCCTATGAGGGTCTAGCCTGACATCTCTCTGTGACTTCTATCAAATCTAGAGGCTTTATTTCTTGATCTCTTTTATTTCCCTCTCCCCTTCTAATCATTTGCCAATCGCTTGGCTTGAATGATTGCGGTGCCACTTCCTTTCAAGTCACCAGGATTTATCACAGAGTCACCAGGATTTATCTTTGTAAAGTTGGATTTCTAAAATTTTGTCTAATTTTAAATGAACAAGCTAATTTAAATTCTTCATGACCTAGTCTGTACCTAAAGAGCTGCCATCTTCCCCAAAGCACTAATCTTGTGCCTTAAGATAATTCTTAGCCCCAAGATCTTTGTCTTTTGGCCAAATATGGTTTCCTCAATCAACTGTACTAGACTGCGTCCAGTGTCATGCTAAATGGAATTTCAGACCAAGTTGAACTGTGATGAGTAGTGATAGAAAACCCTGTCTACTTCATAAGCCATTTTTAGAACACACAATTTTGGAATACAAAATGGTTTCAGAAAGACACTGATAAAGAGGATTAGCGGGAACAGACTTACTATGAGGAAACACGCCCCAAGCATCACAGCCTTCATCTTCACATCAAGGTCCAGTGGGAACTGGATCCCAAAGTTATCTGCATCTGTGAAGGCCTCTTTCACTAAACCAGACCACTGCTTGGAAATTTTGCCAACTACAGATTCTTCATCTAAAGACTTGAGCTGCAACAGCAAAAATAAAGTCATAAACATTTCCAAAAACTAAATGGCAAACACACTTTCAAAGTACGCAATTCAATGAAACAAATATCGCATTAAATTTCATAAGCTGTCAAACACCAACAGATTTAAGTAGGTCCCTACAAGTATTGATTGCACACGGACCAGAATAACATTCTTTGGTTCCTGGTGAGACAGACAGTATAAATTCTTACACATAAGGCAAAGCAGATTTTCATAGAAAAAAATTAATTCTTCATTTGTACTTTCTAGTACCATTGGGAAAATAATAATTACAACTACTGTTCAAATGCTGCCTCAAGACACTTAGCTGTCTTGTCGTCTTGACAGTTTAAATGTATTAGAGGCTTACTGCCACCCATGGGCAGTAGGTGGCAGTGGGGGGGGGCTCATGAAATGCAAAAGCCAAGAAAGGCAAGCTGGTGGGTGGAAGGGACCAACAAGAAGCTCCATGGAAGGTTCCTAGGACAGACAAAGGATACAAGAAAGGCAGTATATGAAACCAGATTTCCAAAGTGAAAAGCTTCTCATTTGGGGACTCTGTGGTAGCAAAGCCCTGGGTCTCATTTTACAGTAGAACAGGTAGGGCACAAACTAAAGTCACTCCACAGAGGGCATGTAGATGATCACCAAGTATGTACACATAAGCTTGAGCCAAAGGAGGAGGAGATAGATGTGTCCTTTCCAAAACTGCAAAAGGCATCAAAGGAGGGAGCAGCCTCCTTTAAAGCCCTTGCCTCAGACAGGATCCACCAAGCAAACATGGGGACATTGAGAGGTAGCCAACATCGTGGTGTGGCTGGAGGAGGATGGTATGTTAAATGTGTTAATTTTTACTTCTAACATGAAAGAAAAGTCACAAACTATTGCTCATAGAATAGTACTCTCATCCTACACCCACACAAAGCATAGTATACTTTCTCTTCCTCAAGAATTAGGTTTTATTATATGTCTAATTTGATGATAGGGTATGGCAGATGACTTGAATGTCCACCATGGCTAATTTGCTTTGCCTAGATGATCACCAATGAGCAGTATCACCCACTGAGATGCTGTGGGTACAGTCCTAAGACTTACCTTCCTTGAGCAAATGTCAAGTTACTTCCTGGCTCAAGTTAGAGCCATTTACATGAGCTTCCATCAGTAGAGAGAAACTCAGCTGTACTAGAGGCCAAGATATGAACACAGTGATGTTGATTTCAGATCATTAACCATTGCAATTGCATCAGATATGACATTGGATAAGCTGGCCTAAAACAAATCCTCTTCTGCAATATCTTAGCACTTTATGTGCAAATAGCTGTCATAAGCTTTTATAATCAGTCATAAAGGGCCACACAAACCAAGACTAATAAAGGACTAGATGCAAACAGTACTTAGCAAAGTGCAAAGTGGTTTACCACTCATACATTCCTGTTCTGCTGTTTATTGTATAAATCAAGAAAAGTAAATGTTTTAAAAAAAGACATTAGTAAAATAGAAAAATATGATACCACTCTATGATGAACATTATGGGAATGGGCGTCTTTCTGAGAAGATCTTATTCTCGATTAATCTTTTCCTTGATGAAGTGAGATGAAGGCTGCAGAGGTCATGTGGCTGTGTTAGGTTAATCATTTCTCAACCTGTGGGTCATGACCTATGGAGGTCCCATGACCCTTTCACAGGGGTCACAGATCAGACATCCTGCATATCAGATATTTTTATTATGATTCATAATAGTAGCAAAATTATAGTTATGAGGTGCCAATGAAAACAATTTCACAGTTGGGGTCCATCATATGAGGAACTGTGTTAAAGGGTCGCAGCATTAGGAAGGTTGAGAATCACTGGGCTAATGCATAATGGCTCCTTGGTCATCCAGTGAGAGAGCAGAAGAGCAGGTTCAGACTGACATTTAAGATGATTCACATCCAGGCAGGATGAAGCAGGCCAGCCTCAGGTTAGTTCACACGACTAGAAAAGGATGCAATTTACATCTTACAGACTACTATTTCTTGAACATTCCATTTTATATTTTCAGAGCCATTATTGACTATGGGTAATGGAACCTGTGAAAAGTAAAACCTTGAAAAGTTGAAACTTTTAAACTAATCACATTGAAGCTGTCATTAATAAGTTGTAATCATCTGCATTTGGATCCTCAGCACCCACGTAAGAAGGTGGCGTGTTAGGCAAATGACTGTGTTCCACTTCTTCTAGGAAAAGTGTACTCTGGAATCTTGGTTAGAAAGTATCTACAGAATATGGCATTTAAAATGCTCTAAGAACTTAGACTTTTCTTGACAGTGAGACAAGTCTGATCCTGGCAGCACCCATTACTTCAGAGAGGAAGATGGGCATCAAAGAAACTTGATATGGAGTTTGCCTTCAACATGGTAGGGATAGCCATTTGGACAAGAAACTGCTTTTTTTCTGAACTGCTTGGCAGCACCCTGTCCCAACTGAACAAGCATGTTACAAAGAAAAATAACTACTGAACTTATCAAGGAACAGATGGTTCTTCAAGGTACCTGCTTCACAGAAAAGTTTGTCAGACACTTTGAGCCTATAAGCTAAAGAGATGTCTCTGTCATTTCTAGAGTTTATATATTATCCTTCAGGGCTTTTGATGAAGTAGAAGACAGATAGTTATGGTTATGGTTTTCTTTAGTTATGATAAAAGATAAGTCACATAAAATTTCAGACTCACAAAGTTAGGATAGATGATATTTTCTTTAAATTTTGCCTAATGATAGTGGACTATATATTGTTAACTATAGTTCTTGCTTGATCACTGTTTTCTTATCTATAATTTTACTATGTTAAAGTTAAAACCTTCCTTTATATATTTAGACAGAAAAGAGATTATGGGGGATGTCCTTCTGTATGATGTGAGTATGTTTCTTTTATTGTTTGATGAATAAAGTTGATTCAGCCAATGAACAGCCAAGATGTGGCCAGGCAGGAAGAATAGGCAGGGCTATCAGAAGAGGAGAAATATGGGAGGAGAAACACAGAGAGCGAGTCGAGAGCGAGATGCCAGGTAGCTGCCGAGGAAGAATGAGGTCCAGCATCACCATAAGCCAAGACCACGTGGAGATACACAGATTAATAGAAATGGGTTATTAGTTAAAAGAGAGCTAGCCAATAAGAAGCCTCAGCCATCGGCCAAACAGTTCATAATCAATATAAGCCTCTGTGTGTTTATTTGGGGTTAAACGGCTGTGGGACTGGGCAGGACAGAAACTTCATCTTCAGCACACTTTCCTTACCTTGGGATGCCGAGCAAGGGAAGAAGGAAACAAGGGTCCAGGAAACCCATTTTAGGGGCTTGGCCATACAAAGTATAAATATACAGTAGCTAGTGTGCTTGTGTGTGTGGGTGTTTATGTTTGTGCATATCAGTATGCATTTGGGTGGAAGCCAAACCTGTAGACAGGGTTTAATGCTCTCCACCTTATTTTTGAGACTGCATCTCCTGACGGCTGAGGAAGCTAGGCACCATACCCCAGGCAGTTTTTTTTTGTCTGCATCTCCCCAGTACTGGAACATAGGCACGTGCCTTTATGCCATTCTACTTAATGAATGCTGGCGATGCAAAGTAGATTATTACACCTGCACAGCAAGCACTTAGTCACCTGAGCTATCTCCTCCCCAAAACTTATAAAGGTTTTAAGTGCTAGATTTGTTTTTCTTTTCTGGCCTCCCTCCCACAACTACAGACTTCTGCTTTTTATCTACACTGACCCTTAATCAGAGTAATTGTAAATCATTAATCAGACGGGCACACATCAATTTACACTATTTAGGTAATGCATTAGGAACTAACTTCCTATAGTAATATATTCTTTTCATGTGAGGAAAACACATCCTGTAGACATTCTGATACTTCTTACCTCAAAGTCAATGTCTGTACAGCAGCTGCATGCAACACATGGACCAACAACTTTTAGAACATCCTCCTTCTTCTCATTTTGAAGAGTGAATTTTGGCAGACAAGGATGCCATGTCTGAGTCACATACCCTACCGGCACACCAGGAGGAGCCTGGATTTCTATCTGCAAAAGCAAGAGTGCATGTTGAATGTAACCATGGCCAAACCATCCAGGTGTAATGCATTCTTGAAAACTCTTATTGCACTTCTCAGTTGCTGTGGGAATGTCACACTGACCTCCTGGAGGCAGCAGGGAAAGAAACAGCTACTGCATCTCAGGGGTCTCTGCAGAGTCATGACTTCTCGGCCCAGATTATCCAGGATCCTCAAGGTGAAAGGTCTAGATGCTCCACAACAGTTTCGAGTGCAGCAGTCAGTATCTTCCACTGCAAAGTAAACTCTCTGCCCAAGGCTGTTCTTGATTTCATATTTGTTATTTGTTTCAAAGCCTATTAAAACTGAAAACACACAGGGGAAACCACATTGACCACTTTGTTAGGAAAGGTGACTCTCTCCTAAGGCAGCAGTGGGAAGGTGTGCCTGAGACTGCAGGGAGCAGCAGGAAAGGGGAGACAAGCAGTGGAGAGGCGATCTGGATTCGGGACATGGTAGTGGGAAAGGAGGAGAATATTAAGGTAAGGAGGAAAGATGTCCATATGTGAGACTTCCTAAGGAAGCAAGATGCATCTCCACCTCCAAGGACTCTATCACAAGGGGCTCCAGTGTCTGTGACAGTGCAATGGTGAGGGAGAAGATGGGGCTAGATGTGTAGATAAAACTCATATCATCTGGCAGAGTTTTGCTTTAGGGCTTACAGAATATATATATATATATATATATATATATATATATATATGTGTGTATATATATATATATTTGTGTGTGTGTGAGTGATTTTTGAGCCACACACACATTACATACATACATACATACATACATACGTACATACATACACACACACACACACACACACACACACACACACACACACACACACGCACACACACTTCTCCCCTGCCATTTTAGCAAAAGCAATGACAGGGATTTTTCTAAAAGTACAGGAAAGCAAAATGGAAACCAATCTGAGCAGGACTCCGAGCTAGGGAATACATAACATTTAGCTCAGAAATAAATAATTCGAAGTGGATGGGAGGTGTTAGACAAGAGGTATAGTGCTTAGTAGGCAATGTCTTCAGTCCAAGTCTACAAGGTTTATACACCATGGGCCAATAGAGTGAAATACCCACAGAGCTTCAAAAGATGGGCCTTGCTATACTGACTTTCACTGTGATCTTCTATTTTTGTTCAGCCAGGAAGACAGAATAAACGTCCTTCCTTGTTCATAGCTCTCTGGTACTAGAGTCATGGTTCATCAGAAGAATGTTCAAAACCATCAGTAACTATTTAAAATTTGTAGACGCTCAAAGTCTCTATGCCACCTGTGTGCAAGGACTTTGGGTTACACGGAGATGTTCTTTGTTGTGAGGGATTCATTGAAGTGCCTTTGGTGGCGTTGAGACAGTCCTTGAGCTCTACATTCATGGGAACTTCCTGTTTTCCAACAGTTGGCTGTCACTCAACTGATTTTAAGCAGGCAACTATTATCCAATCTACCGTTGTTTTAATATCTTAATCTCAGAAATCTTGGTCATGAAATTTGAAAATAGTTTTTAGTCTCTAATTTTCCTTGTGTTTACTAAAAAAATGAAAATTGAAACAAAAGTTTTATGCCATTCCTGTATATTTAGATCTGAATACAGGGATATCAGTAATGCATAATACACACTGAAAATGCAAAATCTGAGTAATTTGATTATTACAGTACATATAATATAAGAAATTAAATAAAAATTTGTTTTTAAAAAGACAAAATTAAGTACTTCCTGTTTTAAAAAGACCTGAACATTAAAAACCAGCATACATTAGAGTTACACACACACACACACACAGCACATAGTATCTTAAAGCTTATAAATCTAAGAGTTGTATTAAAATGTTGAGAAGCACTGCAAGAGAGACATCTGTAACCTCCTGGCTGAGCCTCCCACAGACTGCTGTAGGGGAAGCAGCTAGCAAGCTTGTAACTGCATGAACTGCTTCTACTTCTATAAATATTATCACTACAATGCATACTCACCTTCCAGAAGCTCAATTTGCTGATGAACCAGAATCTGATCTATCTGTTACAGAAAAAAAGACAACATGTTCTTGAAATTAGTTATTAATGTTTCATATTTGTATTGCTTTTCATTTAAAAGGCACTATTTTTAAAAATTTTAAAACATTCGTGGAAATTATTTATTATAAGATAACACTCTGGTCAAATAAATCTGATTTATAACAAGTCCCTGTATATATAAAACAGTATTCTTTCTAAAAGTTTCTAAAGGAATATTCATTTTGTTTTAACTTCTGTTCTACAAGATGGTAAAGATGTGTGACCAATGTCATCATTTGTAATATGGGTAGATTTTTTCCTGTTTTTGTATAGGATCTTAATTTTTAAATCAAGCTCTTTTGAAGTTATTTATTTAATTGATAAGACTTTCCCCATCTTACACTTTTGAGTAACCTGTGGAAAATTAAGCTCACACAGAGTATCCACAGAGATGCCTGAATGACTGAAAACTGGATAGTTACCACAAGGCTATTTGTTTATGTTTATCAATTGAGCATGCTTATTACTCCTATTTCACCTAACTAATTTCCTTTATCAAATAATTGCTAAAAGTCATACTGTTGTATTGTTGGATATTTGATCACTGTGAACCCTGAGTTTGTGTTTGTGTTAATTAAATAAAATCAACCTTTGTTCAGGAGACCTAGTTAGCAACTATTTGACAGGGAGTAATACTATAGTCAGAGAATGTCTGACTGGGAGCAGAAGGATGCTCTCTTTTGGAGATGCCAGAGAGAAGGTCCGGTGGTTGTTACTCAACCTCTCTGAGCTAGCAAGTTTTCTCCCTAGTCTTTGATTCTCGAGTCTTATTGATACATAAAATAGAGATTTAATTAAAAGCTATATTTGGCAAAAGCAACAGAGCCAGTTCCTGTGGGAACTGAATTCCTGCCAGGCCACAGCCCGAGCAGTTGAGCCACTGCCAGAAAAGCAGGCCAGAAACTGTGGAGCAGCATTTGTTGGCTAACACAGCAGTAGATTCTAGTGAAACCTCTGTGACGACAGAAAAACAACACTGCTGTAGCTTGCTATCGTGAAATGCAGCATATTCATGGCTTCTTTTTATACATTGGATTTTTAAAAAAACCTATCACTCAAAGGACATAAGCAACAGCATAAATATGAATTTTATTGGTGGTAAAAATATGAGTGATATTATCAGGGCATGAACTGGGGTCAACACGAAAGAACACCAAGTTTAGTATCAAAGTCCAGATTAGAAGGTCAGTTGGGGACAAAGTACACAATTTTTTGCACCGAGTTCTTTTCTTCCGAGAAACCTGATAATTGCAACACCTGTATATCAGAGATTTTCCTGTGATTCAGTGAAACAATACGTGAACTGAACAGGGAACTGAACTGAAAGCAGTGCTTAATAACTACTGTCTAGGTAAATTCAAAATGACAGAAAACACAGTTACTCTGCACACTAATATTCTCCTTCAAAGCGAATCTGATCTAGAAGAATTAGAAGTACCTAGTAGTAGAAATGTTATTTTTCTATTTCAGGCTTTTATAAATTATTGTCTGCTATCCCAGCTTAAAAACTTAAAGCACACATTTATTTTCTTCATGAGTAGTTCACACATTTACACTTGCCTGAGTTAAGTATTCCAACCCAGGTGGACAGTTCAGTGGAGGAGGTGGTGCTGGCATCCACGGGGTCGCTCCAGGCCCACCTGGATGATTGTATGCTGGCTGATTTTGGACAGGAAAGCCACCTGGACCAGCACCTGCATAACCTCCGGGTGGGACTGGGTAGCCAGCCTGGGGTACTGGATAGGGACCCTGGGGCCCTTGGTAGCCAGACTGGGGCATGAGGTAGCCATTCTGTTCTGGAGGTCCTGAAATAAAAGCAAGTAAAATAAATCATCACTGCACAGAAAAATCAGTTCATGAGAAATATCCCAATTATCTACAACCTGAGTTCTTATCTCAGAAACCTTATAGATATAGGATTTATTTGATGCTGTGACTGTTATCTGCCAGAAAATATGTTCTAGTAATTGGGAATGGGAAAGAAAACAGGCTGTGTCCTAAAGCCGTGAAATAACCCTTCTGGCATTCTATGACAGAGACTCAAAATTTGCACTGATGTGAAGGAATCTGTGAGCAAGATGGCGGCACAGGAGGTGGTCACATGATGTAGATTATGCTGACATCTTGACACGAGAAAGGAAAGGCTCTCTATGTGAAGGGCAGATGAGGCATGTTTCAGGTGAAATGCAAGACAATGTCAAAACTCTTACTGTGAGAAAAGAGGGAGACATACACACCCACTTGAAGCTAACTCTGAGGTGGACCGAATCCTTCTCTAACTCTCTGGCTTGTATCTTAAACTTGGTGGAAACTCCTCCAATGCTAGTTCTTTGGGAACTTAGCAGAGGGTTTCAAGCCTGGTCTCACAGTAGAAGAACCTGGTAATTCAGAAATCACCAGTTCCTAAATTCACAATTTCAGTTACTCGTAAGTGAAGCCATGTTTGACAACTGCTGCCTTAGAACCTTGAAACTTAGCCAGGCCATATTCTTTAATTATAAACATCTGATAAAGATCTAGGAGCCACAGGGCAGTTTCTATGACAATCTGTTTGCTCAGCAAAGAGAACAGACTTCGTCAACCCTCTGCCCAACCAGAGCACCTTGACAATCCCCAGGTTGCTTTTTTGAAGATGTGGCTAGCTGGCTGCTGGAAAATCTGAGTAAACCATTATCTGGGCATTCACAGAGGTCAGATAATGCTCACAATTGCATTTCATAAATGAAAATCTTTCCATTCTTTTATGCATTGGTTCAAAATACGATGTAAATTTTGTATCCCTGGTATATAATGATATGATTCGTCTACTTTTCTGAGACATGAAAAACAATAATCATCATAATTACAACACAAAGTGTTTTCTTGTCTCTTTTGGTAGTGGGAATTGGATTTATGTTCTCACACATACAAGGTAAACATTCTACAAATTTCCTTCATCCTGGCCTTATTTGTGACTTTTACCTTGCATTGGGCTTTTCCTAAATGCTTGAACTTAACCGCCTACCTGCCTCGTCTTACTATGCTTCTAGGATTATGGACCTGTACCTCTAAGCTTGGCGAAGAATAAAGGTGTCCATCGTACACGCCACAAAGTGGAAACAAGAACCCAAGGTAGCTTCCAGTGTTAAGTAGTCTTTTCATTTACCCACTACTTCACTGAACAAGATTAACCCCCAGTCCTGTATGACTCAGAAACACCCATGGAAAACTTCCCTAATTCTCATGACATGACCACAGTCTTCACAGCAGACGAACAGTCGATAAAATTAATTTTACAGTTCTTCTTTATGTTTAACCCTTACTGCATCTGTAAAAAATAGATACCCACAGACAAACACTGAATTGAACTAGAATCCACTGTCAGAAAGGGAGAACTGATGGGCAAAGGAGTTAAGACTGGGCTGGTTTAACCCACAGAAACAGGTGACCTGAACAAGGGGGAGCTCTTGGACTCCAGATTGATGGCTGTGTGGAAAGCATGGGACTAACCCAGACCCCCTGAATGTGGGTGTCAGTGAGGAGGCCTAGGTAGTCTATGGGGCCTTGGGTAGTATTTACCCCTGGCGTACAAACAGACTTTGAGTGCCCATGCCACAATATGGGAGGCTTTCTCAGCCGGGACTCTTAGGGGAGAGCCTAGGCCCTGTCCTGGATGAAATGACAGTTACTGGAGATCCACCATGGAGTGCCTCACCCTCCTTGGTGATCGGAGTGGAGATTGGATGCAGGATTGGGGTACCTGGTGGGGAGAGCGAGGGAAGAGGGGAGGGAGAGGGAACTGGGATTGACATGTGAAACAAGATTGTTTCTAACCTAAATAAAACTTCAAAACAAATATTCCTGTGGAAAACATGTGGAGCAAAAGAAAATGAAGCACAGCAAATCTGCCAAAATGTCTTTAATCAATTTCATGACAAAGAATTACTAAACTAAACACATAGGTGCCCCCACCCCCTTGCTTTCTCTCCCTTCCAAATTTCAAATGATGAGCGTTATTTTCCCTGCTGCAACAAGTTCTTACCTTGGAATGCTGCTGGAGGATACTGAGGGCCATACCCAGCTGGAAAATGTGTCCCTGGGTGAGGAGTCCCTGTTTGCATGCCTGCAATTCAGACAGAGGTACAGGCATGTCAGCTTAAATGAGACGCGCATTAGGAAAACCGAGCCCAGTGCTGAAACAGTGCGTGATGGAGAACTGAACCGGAAAAGAAAACTCAGCACGTGAGTTCTGTCTTGAAAGAGTTAATGTGAAGGAGACTTTTGTTCCAATCACATCGTGGAAACTGATTCCTTCAGTTGATTGACGTGTGTTTCGTGACTTTGAAATTTACCCTAAGTAGCTTAGAAACAGAGACCTATGCTAGCTATCACTCGAGAATATTTAATTTTACTTCTATGCATACAAATAGATGTGTATATATTTTATGTAAACTTATTCACATACATACACATTTTCTTTTTCTTTAGTCACAAACATACCTACATGCACACAGCTATGTAAATATAATAAGTAAAAAGGGGATTGTGCCAGTCAGTGGTCAAGTGAATTTCTCTAAGCTGAACGAACTGATAGCATGTAAAATAGCTCAGATCTACACAAATTTATATTTCAAGGGCTTTAATTTTGTCTTATAAAAACTTAGATCAATACAAAATTCACTAAGAAAACTAAGTGGTCTGGCCTGAAAGTTGTCGAATATACTCGTCAAAGCCAGGTTATGGTGAGATATGTATCATTATGACCACTTCAACGACGATGAAAGAGAAAGAAGAAAACATTTCTGAAACGATTTGACTAGAAATATTTTCCAAGATATGTAATGTTTTTCTTCTTAAAATTTAAATTCTGATAAGGCAAAAATCTTATATTGTAGACTTTATATGTTTTATTTAGAACTTTCCTGACAGGGAAGAAAGAGCAAGAACAATGTGATGAATATTACTAAATCCTAAAGGATATGTATATTATAAAACACACATCATGAAAGTATGTATCTGAACACTCTTCAGATATCAAAAACAGTATGACCAGGATAACCATTATGCATATAAATTGTGTCTAAAAGTTCAGAAAAGTTCTTTGGAGAAGATCCAGTACATTCTGCACAATATATCTGTCTGTACACCTGATGTAATCCTTTCTCTGTGACTTTCTTGTTATGAAATGAGACCTTGACATTTGTGTCTACCTTCTCCATTCTAGGATACTAAATAAGGATAATAACAGTGAATCAGAAGGGCAATTTCAAGAGCTGAATGAAACATTACAATCAAGTATTGGATTATCAGATGCTATTATAAAGAAGAGAAATAAATAAGTAACATGAATTTACTTACTGTGCTTTTCCATGATTTCAAGAGTCCTGAAAATAGAATACCTGACATTAGTCCATTATCTACAAATTTATAGGAGAGATGTGTCTACTCCAAGGTGTTCATGGACTATGCAGGCACAGGTCTGGTTAGTCCTCCTCATCTAGTTTAGCCTCATCTACTTACTCAAACGTTTGGGTTTGATCCTCATTCCCATACTCTCCTTCTTAGTAGGATTTCAGAAGTTTTGGTTGGTCATGGAGGACACATTTCTAAGAGTTTTTGGAAACAGGAAGATCCAAGAAGGAACACCCTGAAAGACCCACCAACTGGCAGCAGAGCTAAATGGGCAGCCTTCACAACCTGCACTTCTACAATAAACATGTGGCTCATATACGAATCTCTGACCTCAGCTGCTGGAATGGCCCAGCAAGGGAGCAGAAGTGAATTTCCAGGGCACAGGACTGGAGTCAGGAATCCAGGATCTATGGACTGTCCTGACCTTCTTGAGCCCCAAATCTGAGAAGGTTTGATACTATGTTCTGTGGATTAAAAGTTGCTTCTTACTAGGGGACATGGTTAAGGTTCTAATGGTGACAGCATTTGTGACATCTGACTATGTCTGTGGAAGTATGCATTACAACAAAATTTCTACTTGGTATTGTTCCCAGTAACTGGATCCCATCTTAGCTTTATCTACTACTGTCTAGGTACCACATACTGTAACTCTAAATGGCAACTCACTCTGTGTCTACTGATTACAACTGAAACATAGCAGACAAAAATTCCGTTGCTCAAAACTTTTATCTTGCATCCTCCTGACTTAAATTGGTACCTCCTCTCCTCTGGTACACTCCAGTGTTTTCTATCATTTTATTAACTCCCTGTACTGTGTAATTCTGAGTGACAAAGCATCCAATTAATGTGACTACATAACTAATTAAATCCAGTATTCTCAAGAAACAATGCCATCTTCCAGTTCATTTCAAAAGTGTTTAACCATTGGCAATTTTAAGTACAAAATTTCATATCTTAATAAAATACTTACTCCTAAGAATTATCATCCCAATTTTAAATACTTTATATGCAAGAAGTTCAGCAGTGATCAAACAAATCTCAAAAACTTTATACTAGAATAAATCTAAAAAATTATTTGTGTTATTCATTTAAACTTCTATATTTATTTTGAACAATAGGAACATGATTAACTAACCAGTAGCCAGCTCCAGGGGCTCTCCTCAATCCTTAAGGGCAGAAATACAAATTTTTTTCTCCAACTAATCCATTTGGCTAATAATAAACTAAGAAGCATGTGTAATTCCAGTAGAGCATAAGGTAATATAGGGCTATGTTAATCTTTCAGAGTCCATTATATGAATATATATATATAATGACATATATATCATAAAAGGAAATTCACACAAACCCAATGCCACGATCATCTACTTCAACATCAAATTTTCATTATGAAAAGTTATGCATTTAAAAGAATATCAGTTTTCATAAAATATGCCAAGATGACAAATCTTGAGTAGAAATAGGTGGTATCCTTTATTTAATATGTGTGTTAAACGTCTTTTAAGTTTTTACCTGCATAATTTATATTTTTAAGAATTATTTATTCTCATTGTCTGTATTTGAGTGGCTTTGCTTGCATGTATGTATGTGCACCATGTGTGCCTGGTGCCTAAGGAGGTCAGTAGAGAGCTATGGATCCTTTAGAACTGGAGTTAATGATGGCTGAGAGATACCATGTAGCTGCTAGAACCCACACGTGGGTCCTCTGCAAGATCAGTGAGTACCCTTAACCACCGACTGAGCCTTCTCATTATCCATAAGTCCCATCTTCCCTCCCTCTCTCCCTCTCTCCCTCCCTCCTTCCCTCCTCCCCTCCTTCCTTTTCTTTCTTGGCTTTTTCGAGACAGGGTTTCTTTGTATTGCTTCGGAGACTGTCCTGGAACTTGCTCTGTAGCAGAGGCTCTGGCCTCAAACTCACAGAGATCCACCCGCTTCTGCTTTTTGAATGCTAGGATGAAAGGCGTGCACCACCACTGCCCAGCTATGTCCCCTATTTCGTATGCCACTCTTTAATACATTTAGCTTACAAAAGCCCATGGCCTCAACTACACAAAAACTTTAAGGGATTGTAGTATTGTAGTTTTCAGCCATTTTCATCTTGCATCCAGAGAGCTTCGTGTTTCTTAAATTTTGCTTTTTGTTTTGTTTTATTTTGGTTTGGTTGTTTTGAGATAGGGTTTCTCTGTACAGCCCTGGCCATCCTGGGGCTAGCTGTATAGACCAGGCTGGTCTCAAACTCACAGAGATCCGCCTGTCTCTGCCTCTGCTGGAATAAAAGGCATGCACCACCACTGCCTGGCTCATGTTTCTTAAATTTTGTAACAGAGCCCAGAACTGGAAAAAAAAAAACCTTTCATAGTTTGAATTTCAAATAAAAATGGGAACAAATCCCTCTCCCTAAATCATCCAATGTTTAAGATAAACCAGCTCAACATCTCAAGTTTTAACTAACAATTTAATTAAAACTTGTTTTTCTTTTTACTGTGTGGGGTATGCATGCATGTGTACATGTGTATTTACATGTGTACATGTATATTCGCATGTGTGTAGACATGGACTGTTGATTAACGGGCTGAAATTGAACCTGATATCTTCCTCAGCTGCACTTCACCTTATATATTGAGAAAGGTTTTTCATTGAACCTAGAGCTTGCCAATTCCTGCTAGTCTATCTACACAGCTTGACTATGGGATCTTTGTTTAAAAGTATTTCTTCTCAGAATGTGGTTGTTTTGGTCTAGGAAGTTCTGTGAAGCCAGGAATGAAGGACATGCTAGAAAGAGGGGAATTCCTAAGCCTTGTCAGGAGGACCTCAAGAATGTGGTGCTGTAAGGTGCTGTCTGCATAATGTAACCAGCCCACAAGCCACTGGGTTCATCTGTCTTGGGGGCTAAAGAACATTTCCTCCTTGCACAGAAATCCCCGGCCAGTGCTCCTTTGTCTCTTTGGTGTTTTCTTATTTCACTTCAGCAGAGCTCCCTCTCAGGACACCTTTGAAAACGACTTGCAACTGTGTTCCTAACTGAAGCATGCCACTCCTTATTTCAACCCGATGACGTTTAAATAATGGTTTCTGCTCTGGTTTTTCTAAAATTTCAGAAAGTTTTCATGAAAAAGGAAATGATATTTATGATGTACCCAAAGGGGGAAAAATATGTAATAAACTCGCATGTAAACTGTCCCAGGTGGCTGCAATTTCCCCACAACAAATGAAGAACTTCAAGAAATACCCAGATTACGAAATTCTTTGCAACAATATTACATGACACATTTATAGGAAATTGAGGCATCATATACATATTAATGCAAATAGACATCAACTCAATTATGTAGAAGTTGTGTTGTTGTTATTATAATAGCAAATCACCATTTCTTTTCTGGGGTTTCTTGTTTTAAATTAATAAGTTTAATTAAAACATTTTTTTTCTTTTAGCTGTGAATGCATGCACTCGTATAGGTGTGTTTGCATGTGTGTAGACGTGGGCTGTACGTCAGAGAGCCAAAATTGACAATGGTATCTTCTTCAGTTGCATTTCACTTTACTTACTGAGCCAGTCCCTTCACTACACCTAGAGCTGACCAATTCCGGGTATTCTTTCTAGTCAGCCTGACTGTGGGAGCCACTGTCTCTGCTTCCGGCATGCTGGAATTTTAGGCAGTGGCCACACCTGCGGGGCTTCCGTGTAGAGTCTCTGGATCCCACCTGCAATCTCTGTGCTTGCACAACCAGTGAGGTTATCTACCGAGCCATCTCCTCAGCTCTTTCCTGGGTGTTTTTCATAATTGCAAAACATTCCCAACCTGGGACAGGGAGGAAACCATGAGGGACCATGATCGTGTTTCACAATCCATATATGGTATGGAAAACACCTGTCTCTTGTGATCTCGAAATTTCTATTGCTTTTAAATGCATTTTGGAATATATAACATTACCTGTGTCTATAAATCAAGTACAAATTAGATTGTGACTGTTCAATGCATAAGAATAAATGCCTCTCCTTAAATTATCCATTGTAGGAGATAAACCAGCTCTAAATCCCCAAAGCCTGATTCACCCTCACCTCACTGCTTTAAAACTTCCATTAGCATCTCAAAGCACTGAACAATTGAAACAAACAAACAAACAATGCTGTCATCCAAATAGCAAAGGCAAAATCACAGGAAGTCACATATCAAATAACTTTCATGTACTTTTGGCTACGTTTTAGTTAGTCAGAAACCGACTAATTTTTCACGAACTTTTCAGTTAAATTTTTAGGTAGGCTTTTCACATTGGCAAAACTTTTAACATAAACCCATTTCATCTGTTAAATTGTGGGTATGGTGATAGGTAAACCGAGGCAAATAAATATGCACATGTATTTCCACAAATGGGTGAGCATTTGGGGGCAGGGCACCCTTGACTGTAAACTTGTACAAGAGTATGTTGCATACAAATGCAATGTCCGCTGCAATAGTAAGTTTCCCTCTCAAAATCCACATCTCTATTTCATGCTTAGGAAGAGGAAACAAGCTTAAACTCTGAATGAAACATTGTAAACTTTAAATGAAAATAGATTGATTGGTGGTAGCGCCCATGCCTTTAATCCCAGCACTCAGGAGGCAGAGGCAGGCAGGTGGATCTCTGTGAGTTTAAGGTCATCCTGGTTTACAGAGCAAGTTCCAGAGAAATTGTCTCAAAAAAAAAAAAAAAAAAAGAGAGAGAGAGACAGAGACAGAGACAGAGAGAGAACTATACACCAACTAGAACATACTGAAAATGTAGTGGCCAAGTGTTCTACAAAACTAAGAAGTAAATTTAAAGAAGCAGAAATACATCTCGAAACCCAGTTATGCTTATTAGGTTCCTTTATGATTTCAAATGCCCTTCGGGGAAACCCGATAACCCGATGCTCACTCATTAATTACAGACATGTTTTGCTGAACTAAAGCTGTTGTTTAATACCACTTAGTACACTAACTTGGCTTAAGTTAATATGGTTCCTTTTCCCACTTTCATATTCTTGCCTTTGGTTCCCTGCGGAGGCAGGAGGCTTCCAAATTTGTTAGCAAATATCAAAGCCTTGGATTCCAGTTTATTCTTGTGTTAATAGTTTAATGGCTAGGTAAGCTTTTTTTCCAAGAATTTAATTTGAAAATGAATAGAACCCTTACTAACACACATTAACCAGAGAGCCCAGTTTATTGAGCCCTATTTATTTAAAACTGAACTACAAGCCTATGTTGTGTACACACATGGGCATATACGTTTTTATAAATATTTTCTGAAGAAATATTCACTTTGTGAATATGCCGTGGTTTCAAGGGGGGGTATTCCTGGACAGTATAAAGCTTATCCCGTCTATACTATACATACAGCATATATACTGTCTATACTATATACACAGGCAGTATAAAGTCTATATGTCTATACTATAGACTATGCAAAGCTCTATACAAACATTTCTCCAGTAACCTAGAGACCCGGGGCTGAAGAGGAAACTAAGTATTTGTATAGAATATTGACAGTGTTGTGAGTGAAAATGATGGGGCATGAATTTACTAGTAGTGGCTGTGCTGCCCTCAAGATAGACCAAAGTCTCATTCAAAGAAAACAATCTGTCATCATCCTGGCCACGTTGTTACAGATGTGGGTGTGTGCAGTGAGCACTATAGACAGGAGGGCTGACGACACAAGCAGAAATCATGAAGCTAGAATCTCATTTCATTCAGGGGAATGGGCAATCTGTGAATTACACATCAGAGGAGGGACAGGTCTTTAGAGGTGATGACAAGAGGGGCACAGGAGACAGTCACCCAGTCACACTCCACCTAACATTAAACTCCTTCCAGAAGTATTCTAATGCTCTCTGCCCAGAGGCAGGAACGCTGGCTTACCACCCCCTCTGTTTCCTTGTTTGTTTGTTATTCAAAGTGGTCCAATTGTTGTAAGTGCCCAGGTAGAACACTCTGCTGTTAGGAAAACTCTAGAAGGAAAAACCCCAACCTGCCTAGTGCTTTTCATTAAGCTTCATTTGCACTTAACCATTTAGTTCCAATCACTAAGCCAGAAGAAAGCATAATTGTTTGTCTTGGACCCAGGAGGGGATCACAGAAATCAATTCACACAGGGAAGAGCTGTGGATGTAGGAACTTGGTCATGTATTTGTTCGAATGAAAGCTGATTTTCACTCGAAAATTTATGCAATTTATATTAACTGATGCCAAAGTGACCGGACACTTTTGTTGCTGTTTTGTTATCTTTTTTTTTGTTGTTGTTGTTCCAAGTGATGAGATTTTGAAAAGTGACGCATTTTTAAGTCTTATACTAGTTAACAATTTCAGACAAGAGCTGACTATACCTGAAGAAACCGGGTCAGAGTTCAAGGTTATAGTGTAAAAGAAGCCTGAATCCACGAGTGATCTTCCACTCTGTCCTTTACCCCATTTATATTCCCTGTTTTGGTTATCTAGAATGCTATGCATGGTTTGCGTTCTAGCCATACTCTAAAGGGGCACTTGAGTCAGAACTAGCAGGCTTTTTGAACGGTTCTTTGTTTTTTCCCTTCCCTTTCCCTCAAAGGGAATTCAACTTGGACTCTGCACGTTTGGTAAGAGTGTTAACCACTGAGCTACAAGTGAGCCCAGCCTCTGTCCCTGATTCAGGGCTGCTCTGGGCTGTAAAGCAGTGCACTAAGCTGAAGAAGGTTCCATGGGGACTTTGAAGGAAATTACGCCAGTTTGGTTCCCTGAGCAACGGTAGGGACAGCAGGGCTTCTGGCGGCGTTCTCGCTCCACTTCCGGGGTCACTAACTCAGGTCTTTCAGCCAGTTCCCCCAATCTCCAGACCGTAACTCTGCCGCCTGAGCAAAGGGTCCCCAGTCCTCGCTCCTGCTCATCCCTCAACCCTCGCCTCCGCGTCCCATCCTGGTACCCTGCTCCTGCATGCACACTATCCCAAGCTCGGTCCTGGGTGGCACAGAATGCTGGACTCACCTGAGGCTCCTTTTGCTTATCAGCCGGGGGAGCTGAAATCAGGGATGTGATCAACTTGTCCTGAATCTCAACCCCTTTGTAACGACGCAGCAGCACCTTCCTAGAAGCCTCGCAAAGGGACTCCGAGTGAGGCTACGGAACACACTGCACCCAGCACTCCAGGATCCTCCAGCTGTGCTCTGAGGCCAAGCAGTCCACCTTCCCGCCCCGCCCACAAGCAGCTCTCTGACTGGCGGGTGCGAAAAGGAAGTGGGGTTTTGATGGCCTTGGAAGGGAAGGTCGCTTATCACCTGGGGAGTGGCCTCTTCTGGGAAGTTTCTTTACATTGCCGGATCTCAACCGCTCCAGCCATTGGGTTCTTTCTGTGCAGGAAGATAAAAGTTACTTTCCTGCTTTGCACATTTCCAAAGGGGTAAAACTTGCATTCTCAAGTTTGTTGAACTCTTTCCCTGGTAGCATTTTTCTCGCTTTTTAAAAAGCCTTATGGCTTTTACAGTCGTTTGATTACAGTCTGTAGAAAATTACTGCCCTTGACTGGAAAACATGCAGGTTTGGTTTGAACTGCTGTTTGCTCTCTGGGGAATCAGCATCTGCTTTTGTATAGGACACGGAGGTTCTTACATCCCAGCCTGAGAAGAACCGCCTGACTAAAACTACATTTAAAGGCCATGCTTTCAAGTTTCCTATTTAGTATGTCTGGTCTGTCTAAGAAATCTCCCTGTGTCGCAGAAGGTAGTTTTTCCTGCCTCGACTGTTCTGAATCATTTGGTATTCTTTGGGGTGCTGCGTTTATTAGTAAATGACAGAAGAAGGTTACAGGTGAATTCTAACTGGTGAGCTCATCCTTCTTTCCCTGTGATTGGTGCATTTCTAAGTATATTCAAGCAAAAGAAAATCTGGATATCATCTTGTATCTGTGCTTATATTTCTGGACACACATAAACATGTATGCATAGGATATATTTTTTCTTCATAGAAGTAAATGGTGTGAGGAATTCCCACATCATTGTCAGCAGTAAAAGAGCAAGTCTTGAGAAAGGTGAAACTCACATATGAAAAGACCCTGAGAGCATAGCCCACCAATACTGGAGAAATGGGCCCTGAATTTACACAGCGCAAGATTTGTGGCTTGCTTTTATGGACTTGGGATATTTATCACTATTCTTCACCTGATGTCATACTCAGGCCAAACAAGGGCCCTTATTACTGTCCCCTTCTGCATAAAAGGGTTTATTTCATTTGAATTTGATAGTATGATTATAGCTACTTGTGAGTCTTTTTTTCCCAAGCTTAAGCAGTTTATTTGTAAGTAAAGCCTAGCCTACAGTCTTGAAACCATTAGAACAACCTAAGAGTCTTCTTTCTGCCCTCACCTGCACCTGTTGTGTTTCCTAGACTAACTTCTCTTAGCAGTAGCTCCAAGACAGTCTCTGCCACAGGTGAGACAGGGTTTCCAGGGAAGCAGCTGCATGGTAGTGAGTCCATAAGGTTTGTTTCTCCTCCTGATGTCTTCGTGCCTCAGGTCCACCTAAGTTTTCTCCTTGGAAAAACTAACCATAGCAAACGATTTAAATATTGTATCCCTAGCACTAATTCCTTATGAATAATAGGAGGTTAAAAACAAAACATTAAACAGGTAGCAACTTAATGGACATGTCCATGTTGGTGCTGTATGTGGATACCTAGCAGCATTCTAAGACCCAGACTCTGTACTAGGCTTTAAGTATATGGTCTATTCACAAAAGGTGAGAAATGGTTCAGCCACATACAGAGGGTTGGGGGCTATGCAATGAACTGACAACTCATAATTCTATTCACATGTTGTATTTTGAACTAGGTTGAAGGGCCACATACATTGCAAGAAAGGCTTGGAAACGCAGTATGGAGTCTTCTCAGAAAAAGAAAGAAATTGTGCCTTCATCTGGGAATTTCCACTAAAACTAAAACAAAAACTCCTCTAAAATAAATGAGCAACCAAGTATTTCAGCATATGTATTTATAAATCTGAAATCTTTTTTTTTACTTAAAAGAACTATTTCCTGAAGTTTGTAATAAAAAAAATAATTCCAAATGAACTAGATACTTTTTCCAATGCTATTCAGGTCCCGTTGCAAAATGGAAATTTGACATTTTAAAATAATAATGTATGGAAGTACATCAAGATTATCCAGACATTTATTAAAGCAAAATCATATGAATTATACAAAGAAGTTATTCATGAAGGAAGAAGAGTAACGATAGCTTTATATTATAGATGGCTCAAGTAAGTTGGAAAGGAAGGAGAAGGAAGCAGCCGTGAGGAGAAGGCAGTGCTAATGTGAAGAGAGGCAGTTGTGTGTTTCGTGTGTTTCAAGAAATCAAACACACATCGCTTTAGCAGAAGGTATGGTGTGGGCAGAGGTTCCTCAGCTTGCAATGGAGACCAAAACTTGTGTTCCCTCTTCTAACACAACATAGTTGTTACAGAGGAGTGGTGTTTGCCCTAGAAATATATTTTTCTTGCTTCCAGGTGTGATTGAAATAGTACCAGTGTCATCTAAGAAACAAACAAATCTGTTACTTCCAAGCTGGGAATCTAAAACATTGATATGCTTTCATGGTCCCATTGTCCTTCCATTATCTTAATGCAGAATTGAGTCATGTTATAGCAAAGCAGAAGGGCATCTCTATTCTAAAACACCCTCTCATATTCTCTTCCATTCAAGATCTGCTCACCAGTCAGAGAAACCCCACCCTGATAACCATGTAGGAGAAAATAAGTTATAGCTGCTAGCACTGTCGAATTGAACCCTGGAGAGTTTGAGAGGGAGTCACAGGATCTGAGGTCTTGTAAAGCAGACATTTGATTTTATTTTTGAAAGACAAAGACAGTGTGATCTCATTTTATGGACAAGAGAGACACTCTAAAGTTCTTGTTTGTAAAGAATAGTTTGCATGAAGAGTTCTTGGTAGGACTAGAGAAACAAGAGGAGAGGAGATTATTTTATTGGCATTCCAACACCAAGACAGTGTGAAGCTAACGTAAGATACTGAGATGAGAGGAGATTTTACTTACTAAAATCTGAAAGATGAGGAGTGGGCAAAGGTGAAGATAATCAAAGCATGGTTTGTGCATGGATGAAAATGACACAATGAAAATTTATCTTGTAAAATTAATATACACTGATAACGAAAAATAAGCAGTTCTTGGTGACTAAGTAAATTCTGAGAGGAAAAGAATTGTCATAGATTGTCCCTACCTTAAGCAATTGACCATGCTCAAATTCCAAAAACATTACAAAGGACATTTGGGGTAGAGCTATATTGACTCAATTTGTAATCTTGTAGGGTGTCAAAGTGAGGACACTTTGTTCTTAAGACACTCTGGTCCTACCCTCACCTTTTTTTGTTTGCGTGAGGAACCAGCACTGGACTCAGAAACTGAGCCCACCTCACAGATTGTTCAGAGCAAACATTAGAGCAGGAGGCAGGGTCCGGTACTGGAACTCAGGACACACTCATCATAGAGCAGGTGGATCCTTTGCTTCTTCCTGGAAAGGGAAGGTGTGAACAAGGAAGGGCGTGGGAAGCAGAAAAACTTGTTTTTGTGGAACTCAACCAGGAAGCGAGCTAGATGATGACACTGTCAGTTTGAAAGCAGCAAACAGAGTGAGGCTGATCAGAAGTGGCCAAGCCTTGCTCCTATGGTACCTCCTTGTTTAAGCTACACCTATTAACAATGAAAGAGGCCTACATAGTTCAGCAGTCAAGTTTATTGTGTCCTCCACTGCTCCAGTTGTATTGAAAGACCCCCAGAGTGGGGAGACCCTCACTCAAGTCTCGGGATAAGTCGACGCCCCAATAATTCAAGAGAGACCGTTCTTGCTGCAAGCACACGAGGTTTATTTGGGGAACCAGTGCACTGGAGCCGAGCTCATGACCCTCGCAGAGGCAAAGGAGTTCGACCCCTAGTAGCTGCAGTTGCGGGTTTTTAAAAGGGAGAAACTGAATCGGGGAGTTAGGCAAACATCATAAAGGATGTAAAGTTAAATGATAGCTTATGTCTTAACAGGAAGGTTATCTCAAGCAAGCATTCTTCAGGCATTGCACAGTTAAACATTGAGCTAGTTCCTGGATAACGGAGGGTTATCTTTTAAGTTTATCTTGAGGTCTCTGGTTTCTCAGGAGAGGGAAGAAGGGCAAGTCACTCTGTGATGGGCTAGTCACTAGGGGTCTAAAAATGTTGAGTTGGGATCTCAGTATAGATGAAAAAAAGGAACAATCAGAATCACACTGTGTATTTCTATGTCATAACTAACCCCTGTGACTACATATCACCAAGTCTGAAGAAAGTAGAACCTCACTACGTGGTTTCTGCCCCAAGGGTTCAGTGCTTTTTTTTTTTTCTCCTTTCTGTCTTCAGGCAGAGCATTCCTTCTAGACTTTAAGTGAGGTGAGAGAAGTGTGGTGGCTGTAGGGGAGACAAGGGCTACCCCTTTGTGCCTGCAGGAGCCTACTGTGATTTTATTACTCATACCTGAAAGCTTAGCTGTTTTAGAAATTTTACTTTGCACATGTCCCTTAGCACGCACTCAAAATGCAAATCAACAAAAGCAAACAAAATGAATTTAAGGCCTAAGGGTTCCTACTTATTTAAAAAAATGGCCAAATGGCTACCTGAAATATAATTATCATTAGGTTTAGAAGAAAGTCTAAGAATGAACAACATGTTTGTACAGATTTCCTCAGCATCCATTCATGATTTAAAAGCTGCCAGTGATTCTAAAAATAAGTCCAAAACCTCAAGCAACAGCGAGATGAAATCTGTATTTCACGTGTTTAGAGAATAAAAGAGAAAAGCATGAAATACAGACAATGACTCAGAAAAAGGAAATACTATTGTTGCTAACCAAGTTTACTGAAGAGCAATTTTAAGTGCTTTTCAGGCCATGAACCAGAAAACATATCAACACCTCTGATAGTAGGAGTACGTCATTATGTGACAGAAATAAACATTTTAAAAATATTTACTTATTTATTTTTATTTATTTGTGTGTGTATGAGAGAGAACGGGGAGGGAGGGAGGAAGAGAGAGAAAGAGGGAGGAGAGAGAGAGAGAGAGAGAGAGAGAGAGAGAGAGAGAGAGAGAGAGAGAGAGAGAGAGAGAGAGAGTT